CGAAAATTATCTATACCTATGTACCTACCGTTAAGCGTTGAGCCCGTGACTGTTGATTTCTGTTAAAAACGAACAGTTGTTGAATGATATTTTGATATAATAACGGTAATTTAATTTATTGAGTGAGTGATAAATTTTTATAGATAAAATTATTGGTCAGATAATATTTGTCAATCAAGAATCGCTGATAATACATCCTTCGCTAGAACGCGGGAGGGGAGGGGCGAAGGGATACTTCATTGTTTGCAATTTGCATCTAGTGCACTAAACTTGACCCTTAGGCAGATAATATACGTGTTGTAAAGTACGTGTGCGCTTCCGCTTTCTATTTTTGCAAATATTTATCGTATTCTTGAGAGTTCTTCAATATGTGTGTACCTAATTACTAATAATAGGCATTAATGCTAATTCGATTCATTTTAAGTAATTGTCAATTCTTGTCTTAGGATATTAATGCTAATATTGAAATTTCGTTCAGGGTGAACAAATTAAAAACGATCATAACTTGTAGGTAGGTATATCACTTATTACTAATTTTACATAAATAATTTATTTCATTAAAATTTAACTCACCGCGATTTTGTGATCAAATATTTTATTTTCTCCAACATTATTACAGAAATAATGCAATACAGAGTTTACACTTAAAAAAATCCCCATCTATTCAGAAAATACCTATTTACAACGCATACGTTACACTCTTCAAAACTTATCATTTCATTTCATATTTCTTAAATTACCTATACCTACCCTAAAATTAAACTTCAATTAACAAATACTACGCAGGTACCAATTCTATGAACAACTATAAACAATTCACCTAAACATTACGAGAAAACAAAAGCATTCAAAACAATACCTAATCTCCCGGCTGATTACTAATTATGCAATAAACAATCCTAAATAAAAATTATTTAAAAACATGTAGTTTTTTGTAACACTTATGTACATATCCGTAGTAAACTTGCAAATAATATCCTACATATTTTAAAAGCCAGCACAATGTACTGGGTGATCGCTTTTTTGTAACCACCTAAACATGGTCGGGTTACCACGGTCTTGCACCTTCTAATGACTTTTATTTAATTATCTCGTAAATTATTATATGTACTACGCTGAAATTTTACAGGTAGACAACTGAACTAAACAACTAATTATTGGCATAACATTCAGTTTATATATCCACACACAGGTTTATCGGTGGCCAAAAAAGGCCGCACACATTGTGATCGTGAACGTGGAGAGCTACATTTCATCATAACTTTTTAGTCACTTACAGTATTCTTACGAAAATTCGTATACATTTGAAGGTAGTAACAAGCAATACAATAACGTTTCAAGTAAGTCTTTAGAGGTCTTATTTAAAGTGTTAGGACGTATTGAAGTGTTTTCATACTTACCTAAATAATTTTTAAACGGTCCATTATTTTTGTTATTTTATTGTCGAACAAATTAAAACTAATCCTTAAGAAGTTATGTACAAAAGATGGTTACAATCCGCTTACCCGTTTCAGAGATCCAGCAAACCCACAAACGTTACTCCAGCAGGATTTCGAATAACTTCACAGCCGTAGAAAATACAAATACCAAATAAGTTGTAACATTTACCTAGTCCAGATAACTAATTATTAAGCTAAAATTTATTTCAATATTACAATTAAAAAAGAAAATGTCTGGCTGCGGTAACGTTTCAAACGTTACCCCAGCAGGAAATGTTTTTTTGAAATAACTAAAACAGTTTAAGTGAAACAAATTTAAAAATGTGCTTAACAATTACAGAAGGGGAGCAACTAATTATCTATAACGTTTAAATGACCATTTTCGACATTATTTTGCTGGGGTAACGCACACAACTAAGATAATCATGCACAATTTCAATATATGAAATATGAACATTATATATTTCAATATAATGTTTAGTTATTGGTCTGAGAACTATATTTCGGGAATATGTCTTCAAGTTAACTATATTTTATGTGCATGACTGACCTACTGGTTAGCGATACTGACTTTTAAGCCGGAGGTCGTGGGTTCGATTTCCACCAAGGACAAATATTGTCTGATAATCACGATCGAGATTTTTCTAGTTAGTATTAAAGAAAAAATGGAAATATTAAAAATGAAATATTAAAAAAATAAATCTTTATCAATCGACGACACTACACTATTATTCCAAAGCGGTACCTTAATGCCGGAGTTCCGTATTAACAAATATAAAAAAGTACAGCTGAATTAAGAATCTCCTTTCTTTTAAGTCTTTGCATTGCTCCAACTTATAAAGCGCTCTCGTGTGTAGTAATAAAGCACAAATTACATTGCGATGGGATTTCTATAACACAATAATCTATAAGGCCAATATTCAAATTTATTCCATTGTTATGAGAGTTCCAATTTATTTAACTGACTCTTTGCAGTACCCACCAGTACTGACTTGATCGTGTTCATGTATGGGTTGTATGGGTAATAAGGAAAAAAAAAAGAATTAAATTTTTATAAGTATTTTATTTAAACACAATATACATCTTAGAGATCATTATGCACATATAAGCTAAATAAATAAATTATATCTACCATACTATAGTCCATTGACGTTATGAAAATATAACGTATGACCAATCAGGATTCAAGCTTTACTACGAAACGATAATTTCTTGGCACCTGATTGGTTAGGGGCGGAGCTTGATACGTCACTATTTTCTTAACACGAATGCACTATAGGCATAAATATTTTATAGGAACACTATTTTTTCTAACTAAGATTCGTCTAGACAGACTACACTAATTTATACAGAAATTATTAACTTAAAAATATTTTTTTCCAGGTAGCAATACTATGTTTTCGAACTGTCATAACTTTAATGTAGCTTTTCTGTGTTCTGAGGGAGTGATTTCGTAAAAAGTTTCGCTCGGGCCTAATGTTAATGTTAGCCACAAATAAACTGCTGTGCTAAGAATTTGAAAAAGAACGGTATATACTTAGAATAATGATTAGCCTTTAAAATCACTACAGGTTAACGCCGGTTGAAAGAATTCAAATCCTGCTTTTTTGAGACCACTCCTCCTCATGAATATTTTTTTGGAAGATGCTTTACCAACAATAATTTGCGACGGAGGTCATTTAAAGTTTCGATAAGGAAAACCTTTAGAAAAGTCACAAAGCTGGAGTCGAGTTATTTTACTCTCTCTCTCTCTCTCTGATAATGGAAAAGCTCTTGTATCAGACTAGAGCTATAAGATAGAAACCCCTGGTACCAATAAAAGTCGGAGGCCCCTAATTTTGTAGCGAGGAGAGGTGTCTCTTGAGTACCGGTGTACATTGGCGGTAGTCACTTCCAGCCATCAGGGAGGCGTCTATTCGATTGCGCCCTATCTATACTAATATTATAAAGCTGAAGAGTTTGTTTGTTTGTTTGTTTGTTTGTTTGAACGCGCTAATCTCAGGAACTACTGGTCCGATTTGAAAAGTTCTTTCAGTGTTAGATAGCCCATTTATCGAGGAAGGCTATAGGCTATATATCATCACGCTAAGACCAATAGGAGCGGAGCACCAATGAAGAATGTTTCAAAAACGGAGAAAATTTATTACTATTGAGAGACGCAGACGAAGTTGCGCGGGTCAGCTAGTATCATATAAAAGCCTATTTTTACCAAACCCGTGAATGATCTGGTCCAGCCAGGCGAACAGCTCAACTGCAACAACTATTATTACATCAAAGTTTGGTTTTAAGATCTAGACCAACTGAAAAAAGGTAAGTTTTAAGGGTCCATGAGAAGTCCACCCACAACATGGACACTGGACATAAGTAGCTTCACATAACCAATATTTTCATTCGTTCTGGGTTTTTATGTTTCTTTTACACAAGTAAAGAATAGCTGGTTTAGTTTACAACTACGGGCTGGTATTCTATGACACGTCAAATTTCCGATAAATGATTTTGAATCTTATTTTAACAGTTACAATACTACAAATTGATTGTTGAAGTCTTTCTACTTACATATCCTAAAGATGAAGTCATTGTCAACATTCCAATAATTTTTGAATCTAATTTTAATAGTCAAAAAACTCTTTTAAGAATTATGGAAGGTATATGAAATAAAAAGGTATAGAATCCTATTTAATGCATGCTACGAGTGAATACCAGCCGTTATTTGAAGTATTATACTTTTGGGTACTGGACAATAAAGATAAAACAATTTGAGGGTAGTTCTATTTATAATTTCGATTTAAACTGCCTTCAAGTTAACGTTCAATAACACTAATCCACAACTTATTTAAAAGCTACAGATAAGTATAACATACTCACTATTATTGCAAAATCACTTCACTAGATAACAGAATTGACAGTGACAGAAACTTCTGTCAGTCTTTAGGTGCCAGCGGGTCTTGATATTGACAATTTTGACAAAATATTTTTACATATACAATAAATGCTAAATTTTCACATTTGGGCCGACTCGCAGGCATTGATACTACAGCCTCACAAAAAACTGGTGTTCGGCAATACATCGTTGCTTTTGGTTACCAGCTCTAACCCTCCCCCCTCCCAAGTCCAATTCTGGAAGGGCACTGAATAGGGGATGACTGTCATGTGAAATCAGTATCTTTTTTTAAACGTAAAAACGCTAAATTTTGATATGAAATACATTTCGTACATGTCATATGAAGCTATTATCAAATCATTAATCTTAAATGTTGATATTAAGATATCAAATAAAAAGATTAAATTGATAATGGAGGGCAATTCATGCTCTACTTTAAGATATTACATTTAATGATGCAGACGTAATGATTTATTTCAAACATAGGAATCTACCCTATTAGCGCAACACTATTGTCTCTTGAGCTGCAGATGTGTATGTGTGATGGTAGTCACTTACCGTCAAGTGACTCGTCTGCTCGTTAGTCCCGTATACCATAAAAGAAGTCCCATGATTTGGCAAGAGTGACAGCCTAACAAAGCTAAAAAACCAGTCTTACCCAAAAAAAAAGTCATCACTAATCAATTCCTGTCAACATCAATAAAAGTCTGGAACAAGGGTACATTTATTTCTTCTTCTCCCTCGTCGCTCTCTTTCTCTAATTTGATCGCGATATCCGTTTTTTGGACCAGCAAGGGATCGTTTTCAGAGACATCATGTTTCTTGTTAGGTATAACAGGCTCCCAGTTGGGTTTCACATGAATGTTGTTCTGTGCTATTCTGTTCTGTTTGTTGAGCTTGCGTTGAGCCTTGATCTGTGCCCTGGTCATGTTCAAATGTTTGATCTGGTAGTGGACTTTCACGTACGGCTGGGTCTTGAAGAGGAGTCCACATTCGTTGCAGGGGTACATCTCGTTCGAGTGACTCTTCTTGTGACGTGTTAGGACTTGTTTGTTCTGAATTATAATATTGGGTAATTATTTTAGTAATAAAAAATTGTATGGTCGCGGGACGTCTGGCTAATGTGAAACATAGAAATTATTTTATAGATATAATATTAAGTATAAAAGCATAGCTTATGGAAGGAATTGTCAATTAATGTTGATAAAACGAAGACCATGGTTATAGCGAAGACAATGATGCCCACTCCAAATATAAAGCTTCGGGGGGTAGATGTGGCAGGCGTTGGTGGGATTAAATATCTTGGCCGATACTTTACGAATGACTTAGACCATTTGGAAGAGGTGAAATGTCGAATAGGACAAGCTAAGACTGCTTTCTTCAAAATGTCTAAGGTTTTCACCGCGTCATGAAATGCTACGTTTGGTCCACACTGTTGTATGGGTGTGAGACGTGGGTCTTAAGGAAAGACATATGTAACCGACTGCAAGCCTTCGAGATGTGGTTGTTGCGGAAGATGTTTAAAATCCCGTGGACTAGTTTTACATCCAACGTAGAGGTGCTGGAGCGAGCCAAGTGCAGGAGAGAACTGATGGCTGTTATAGCGAAAAGGAAGGTGGCCTTCTTTGGACACATACAAAGGGGCCCGCAACATGAATTCCTGAGGCTTCTGTTAGAATGAAAATTACCAGGCAGGAGGACATCAGGTCGATCACGAAGGAAGTGGATAGGTGACATCGTGGCCTGGACCGGGCTGCGATATCGCCAACTAAAGGAGTTACATAGTCTATCACATAGCGTGGCGACGTATGCCGTGGCGACGCGTCGTCATACCAACAGCCAGTTTGACCCTCTGCAATTAGATGTTTCACATCAAAAGACATGTGTTTACTCGCTCATGTGGGTATTTCGTGCAACCTGTGTGTTGGTGTCAGAGGTCATACCTAAGCAGCCGGTTGCTTTACACCTTGATAAGGAACCACTGTAGGGTTCGAAACAGAATAAATAATATTAGACTTTTTAGAATTTAAATAATAAAGACTGCACAGATGGCGTAGTGGTTTGAGCGGTCGCCACGCCGCTTCCTACTACGCTGAGTGTTGTAGGTTCCATCTCCACATGGGACACCACTTTGTGTAATCCACAAATTGTTGTTCTGAGTCTGTGTGTTCTTTGTGTCTGTTTCATGTATGTTTGTAAAGTCCCCCGCGACACAGGATATATATTCCTAATGCGGGATTTCTATTAATTTAAAAAAAAAACTAACTTAAGTTACTTTTAAAATACATAATATGTAAGTTGTTAAAAATACCATTGACACATATTTATATGCGATTAGATATACCATAACTCTAAATAAACATCAGAGAACATTCTTAAGCAAGAACTATGATTTTCCTGTGTCACATATGGGACTAATCCCACCCACCACTGTAACTCCTGTACACCAGGATCCACAGCAGTGACCCACGAACACACCGAGTTATGACACTCGGGAAGTCCCAGGAAGAAATTAAACTGTCTTGGAACCCGCAACGAAATTAATCAGTAGAAAATTGGAGGAGTTGGAAATACACATATGTGACCTTGGCGTTCAGATCTTGATAAATAACATGCTGTACAGTCAGCTACAGAAATCCATATATACATTCAAGTTTGCAAAATACCTGAACACGTGAATTTGTAATGATGCTCTCGCAGCTATATTAGAAGAAAATATTAATTGTTGAATTATCGTGACTTGCTTTTGAACTATTGTTCAACACCAATACACCGACGAATAGAGAACCTCCTCCTTTTATGAAGTCGGTTAAAAATATGTAAATATTGCACAAGTAAGTACGGACGGATTAAGAATACAAATTGTCACCACCCCAATTCATCCCGTGGGTTTCGTAAGAGCCGACTAAGGGAGCAAACTAAGCAGGACAACAGCACTGCAAAGAGAAGGAAAACTTGAAACAAACCCTATACCAACCCGTCTGGCCAGCGTAGTATAGTAGGCCAAAACCTTCTTTCTAAGGAGAGGCTTATGTCCAGCAGTGGACTAGTATAGGCTGTTGATGTGATGTGATGTGATGAAGTACAAAGGACGCGAAGTATTAATTAGATGTGTATTTTGACCATAAAACTTGTCCAGTTTATGTGTTAGCGATTTATAATTATCTTATGCCTCAAAATTTAATCTCAGAAAGTGTTTAATGTCAGGTTAAAAGGCATTCCAATAGTTTAAATAATATTGTTGCGCCATAGGATTAAACGGTTCGATCGTTCAAGAATCGTATGGAACACTTACAGCGCTAAACGGCGCTGCGAGTGACGCGTCATCGATACTGGAATATTCTTATTCGTCTGGAACGGACTATCGAATACTAGGGATCGTTTTAGTAAATTCGATAGCACAGTTTAATCGGAGCGCGTTCAGAAATTATAAGACGCGGAGGTGTAAGACAGATGCGTTTGCTTACCGAGAAGGCCTTCCCGCAGAGCTCGCACTCGTGGTTGCGCGGCGGCGGGTGGGGCGCGTGGAAGCGTGCGGCGTGGTCGCGCAGCAGCGAGGGCGTGCGGAACACGCGCCCGCAGCCGCACGCGTGCCCCGCGCGCGCGCCCGCCGCGTGCGACCACGAGATGTGCGAGCGCACCTCGCCCTTCGTCAGGTAGTAGCGCTGGCAGTGGTCGCACTGGTACCTGCGCACACACACTCTACAGGGCCCGCACGCGCGCGCGCACACACACACACACACACACGCACACTCACTTCTTGGTCCGGTCGCTGTGCATGCGCCGCACGTGGCGCTTGAGCATGGCGCGCGTCGCGCACACGCGCAGGCACAGCGCGCACGTCACCTCCGGGGCGCTAGAGAACCACACGTTATTGTTAACTAAAGTAATTGTGTGTTCATCTAAAATAGACTTTAAATTATTATTTATGAGACGATTACAAACATTTTTTTTTTCATAAATTTTAAATTTATTTAAATATCTAATTTAAAATTATTTCTTTTAATTCCTTTCTTAAAATAATGGCATTATTTTAAGAAAGAAATTCTCCAGTGACTACAATAGGCTAGTTGACTCAATTTGAAGACTAGGTAATTATATACTTTGATATCTATTTTATCCCAAAAAACCTTTATTTTTAACGAAAAACAATATACATAATTTTTGTATTTAAAAAAAATTAATTAAATTTCACTAGAAAACGCTGAACGCTAGTGTCATGGCGTCTTGAATGACGTCACAGTCTGCGAAACAAAACTGTTTACATCTGTGTCCAGTGTCAACTGAAACTGTGTTAAGGTGAGAAAATATGCTAAAAACGAAAAACAATAAGGAGTAACCTGCTCTGTTGTATGAAAACGTCAACAACAATAATGACGCTTTGCGTGGCGTGACGTAACACTTTCTGATTGGTATTCGCTGTCACGTGACTTAATACCTATTTTGTTCGGATTATTTTTTTTAATATTAATAATCTTTAACCTTTTTGAGAAATATACTGGTTGTCCGTGTGGGACGGATTAAGAATACGGAATGTCACACCCCCATGTTCATCCCGTAGGTGTCGTAAGAGCCGACTAAGGGAACAAACTGCACAGGAGAACAGCACTGCAGAGAGAAGGAAAACTTGAAACAAACCCTATACCAACCCGTCTGACCAGCGTGGTATGGTAAGCCAAAACCTCTTTTCAAGGAGAGGCCTGAGTCCAGCGGTAGACTATTAAAGGCTGTTGATGTTGATGAGACTGGTTTTTTCTTATCTATGTCTCTTCATTTATAATTTGAAACTATAAACCAAGAGATTTGTTATTAGTGGACACAAGCCTATTTCACATTGACTATTGTCTTAAGAGTGAGAGAGGAGGAGACTATAGTTAAACCGCCGTAAGCTTGGCCCTCCTGATGGTTTGCGGGACGCGGGGCGGGTGATGCGCTCGGCTATACATGACACGATGTACTAACTCGATATCTTCAGATTTATTTGTTTGAGATTTAATCTACACACGATGAAATAAAAATCGAATTTATTTTCATGTATTATAAAGTCAGTGTATTGTAAGTTTTTATGATTAATTGTAAAATTTAATACTGTAAAATAATTTTAATAAAATCACCTTATCTTCATCTTGTAAATTACATTCAGATACAATTTAAAAATAAAGTAAAATAATAAATATTCTTTATTAGAACTTTAACAGTAGAACCTCTGTAAGCCGAACTTCAAGTTTCTAAATCTTTTTGTGACGCAGAGTCGGCAGATTATCCATGTTGCAAAATAATACCGTGTGTAGCAGTCTTAAGAAATATAACACGTACAGCCATGCTTTCACGTCAGTCACTGCCGGCGGACAGCGACGCACTAGCTAATCGGTTGAATGCACCCCCGCCCCGCGTCCCCCAAACCGTCAGGAGGGCCAAGCTTACGGCGGTTTAACTATCGAAATTGTAATAATCACAACATATGAAATGACTGACCCCTCGTACTTCTCGTGGTGCACGTTGAGGTAGTGCTGTCCGAGCGCGTGGCGGTTCTTGAGCACGAGGTGGCACAGGTCGCACGGCACGTTCTCTGCCTGGTGCGCCTGCAGGTGTCGCTTGAGGCACGACTTGTTCTTGAACGTGCGCGAGCACACGTCGCACGTCACCGGCACCTTCACCGTGCCCAGCCGGACCTCCTCGTTGTGAGTTCTGACGAGTTCATACATTTTTGCTGACTGTACCTTGACGACTGGACGGCGTAGTGGTTTGTGTAATGGACTGCTATTCCAAAGGTCGCGGGTTCGATTTCCGCTCAAGTCAAACATTTGTGTGCATGAACATTTGATGTTTGATTTGGTCTGGGTGTTTCTATGTATAATATGTATGTATTTACAAAAAAAAAGTATATATGTATTTATATCAGTTGTCTAGTACCCATAGTACAAGCTCTGCTTAGTTTGGGACTAGATGGCGTTGTGTGTATGTGGTAGAATATATTATATATTATTTTTTATATTTTTTTTTATTATACACTATGGCATATTGTAGTTGCATTCATGAGAAACTAGTTGCGCCCCGCGGTGTTATCCGCGGTTGTTATTGCACCTTGCTCAAGTGCCCAACAGACGAGAACACTAATTTTTCGAGATAAAAAGAGCTTATGTGTTATTCTAATTTCTATGCCAAAATTCACCCAGATCCGTTTAGCTGTTTTTGCGTTAAACAGTAACATACATCCATACAAACTTTCACCTTTAAAAGATGAGGTTTTTTTTTAGTGGTTTATTAGAATATAATTGAGACACTTTTAAAAAATGGGTGTAATACCCTATTGTGTAATAAACACTTGCCTTATATGTGATCTATACCACCCCCTCTCGTGGAACACCCTGAAGCAGACGGCACACTCCAGTCGATGAGGTTTGGTGTGATACTGTTCGACGTGTCTCTTCAGGTACTGGGGACGCCTGGAAATAAACTTTATGTTATTACTAGCTGCGCCCCGCGGTGTTACCCGCAGTTTATCAAATATATTTCAATTCTTTGCCCATCCCACGGGAACACTATAGTTTTTTTAAATGCAAAGGAGTTTATATGTTAATTTGTCTGCACGGATGGCGTGGTGGTTTAAGCGGTCACATTGCGGCTATCGACTGCTCATTGTAGGTTCGATCCCTACATGGGACAACACTTTATGTGATCCACAAATTGTTGTTCTAAGTCTGAGTGTGCAAGTCACAGGATATTATTACTTATTAAAAAAGAACTCATTGTTCAAATCAAATAGCGCGCGCTGTTCCGGATTCCTAATACACATTTCCGTCCTTTATCACCAAATCACTGCCACAGACACAAGAGGAACGTTGTTACGTATAAAAAAAGCGGCACTACACTTTTCCTTGGATTCTAGAACCTATAAGATGTATTTGTGCCTAAATAGGTACCGTGGGAGAGCTATGTCTCAGCACAAATGGGCCGGTTCGGATGGTAGCGATATCACGACCTTACAGAAAACCGGTGTTTAACAATTCCTTGATAGCTTTTCTCCGAATGAGCGAAGTTACTGGAGCCCAAACCTTCCCTCCTCTCGATTTGAGGGGGGAGGGGCTCGAAGGGCGGCAATGAACTTGTGACTCTTTGAGTTGCAGGTGTCCATGGGCGGTGGTAGGTGTGGTAGGTGGTTGCCATCAGGTGACCCGTTTGTTCGTTTGCCTTTCTATACCATGAGTTATTATTGAAGGTCATGTCTGATTTGTCCGTGTGGTGACGGATTAAGAATACACCCGTATACATTCCGTGAGAGCCAACTAAGGGGCAAACTACGCAGGACAATAGCACTGTAAAGGGAAGGGAAACTTGACACAAACCATAGGGTATAGACCAACAAGTCTGGCCAGCGTGGTATAGTAGGCCAAAACCTCCGTTCTAAGCAGAGGCCTATATCCAGCAGTGGACTTTTAAAGGCTGTTGATGATGTCTGATTCGATTCTCTTTTATGAATGTTACTAGGTTCCTCCATCTCAGTCCGTCCTCAGCCTAGGCAGAGGTAGGTATACTCACTTAAAGCCCCTCCCGCAGTGTTCGCAGTGGAAGGCGGTGCCCACGTGGTCGGTCATGACGTGGCAGGCGGCCGTGTCCTTGTCCTTGAAGCGCGTCCAGCACAGCAGGCAGCGGTAGCGCCGGTAGTGTCGCAGCCGGTGCCGGTACAGCATGTCCGCCGTCTTCAGGTGCGAGTGGCACAGCTCGCACTCGTGCTCGCCGGCCTCCTGGCCATGTTCAGAACATCACCGACTTTAGTGTGCTTTAATCATGATCAATTGTAGTGTGATTTAATCATGAGCAATTGTAGTGTGCTTTAATCATGAGCAATTGTAGTGTGCTTTAATGATAATCAATTGTAGTGTGATTTAATCATGAGCAATTGTAGTGTGCTTTAATGATGATCAATTGTAGTGTGATTTAATCATGAGCAATTGTAGTGTGCTTTAATGATGATCAATTGTAGTGTGCTTTAATCATGAGCAATTGTAGTGTGCTTTAATCATGATCAATTGTAGTGTGATTTAATCATGATCAATTGTAGTGTGCTTTAATCATGAGCAATTGTAGTGTAATTTAATCATGAGCAATTGTAGTGTGCTTTAATGACGATCAATTGTAGTGTGCTTTAATCATGAGCAATTGTAGTGTGCTTTAATCATGATCAATTGTAGTGTGCTTTAATCATGATCATTTGTAGTGTGCTTTAATCATGATCAATTGTAGTGTGATTTAATCATGAGCAATTGTAGTGTGATTTAATCATGAGCAATTGTAGTGTGCTTTAATCATGATCAATTGTAGTGTGCTTTAATCATGATCAATTGTAGTGTGCTTTAATCATGAGCAATTGTAGTGTGCTTTAGTCATGAGCAATTGTAGTGTGCTTTAATCATGAGCAATTGTAGTGTGCTTTAGTCATGATCGATTGTAATTCCACACTTAGGTGGTATAAAAAGAGGAATGAAATGTCGTTACTACAACTTAAGAGGATCTCCTTGAATATTCAGAATTTTTAATAAACCCTGTATATCTTTAATACGTTGAAATTAAAACGATATGTTCAGCTTAAGCTAGTCACATCATGAAGTGATATGATATGACCTGGCCATACGGACACAGGAGTCGAATTCAAACTTTACCCAAAAATATTATATTTATGTTCCTTCCATAATCTCCTATTATCTTGGTTGGCCCCAAAAAAGCAGGCTTTTAAGATCACGTTGAACATCATTAAAAAAAAACATTCGTCCATTCAGATATCACAGATATATACCATCTCTATTTTTCTCAAACGTCTCATTGTAATATTTCTCGATCATGTGTATGTTTATTTTTCACCCTAGTGGTAGAATCACCTTTGAGTGCACTTTCATGTGCATGAGGTAGGCCTGCTCCAGCACAAACCCGATGGCGCAGTCCTCGCACACGTGTCTCATGTGCTGCCGCAGTTTCATGTTCTCCATGTGCTCTATCTGCCTCTCCTCTTCAGTAATGGTCACTATCTGAATGTTCTTTGTTACCTCGTAAGAGTACATTATGTATTTTTCTGAAATTAAATAATAAAAAAAAATTAGATACTAGGATTATATTGTACTCGAATTGGATAAGAATTTTAGAGACTTTAGGGCAACACCCAATTCGAGTAACCGGAAATCTAAATTACTTGAAAATCTAAATTAAAGAAAGCGAAACCGCTGAAACATGATACTTAGAAAATATTAGTATTCCTTTGGGTGGAAGACATGTTTTGGCTGCCTACATCATAAAAAAAAAACCCCATTTAAAGGGCACACATCAACAAAAATCTATTCCATGATCTGACTACTACATCATCATCATCATCAGGCTATCGCAGTCCACTGCTGGACTTAGGTCTGTCCACTTCACGACACTTAGATCGATTTTCGGCTTCTCGCATCCAGCTCCTGCCAGCCATCTTGCGCAAATCGTCACTCCACCTGGCCTGTAGGCGTCCTATACTACGTTTGACGAGACGCATACGCATATTTCGTTGATGCTTAGCTCCTATTGGTCGTAGCGTGATTTTATGAACCTTATTGCCTTCCTCGTTAAATGGCAATGTCTATCCAACACTAAACGCTTTTTCAATTTGAACCAGCAGTTCCTGAGATTAGTGCGTTCAAACAAACTCTTCGGGTTTAGAATATAATAGTAGGTTTAGAGTATAAATAACTACTTAGATGCCAATTTATTCCCAATGCCAAATAGACCTACCTTTAGGTTTATCATCGTCCACTTTGTCTGTTTGTCCAGTATTCTCCCCGTCAGCCTCAGCACCTTCCTGAAAGATTAATTAAACTAATGATCGTCAACATTCATATTAACTAAAATTAATTAATATTCCTAATAGATCATCACTTTTACAGTCCACTGAACGGTGGACAGCCATCTTTCGGCTACTTACAGATGGATCAGAGGGCCGAGTACAAGTTTATTCCACATCCACTCGCTCCCGACGGCGAGCGCGTTTAGCGTTGCGATTGGTGGAGATTTCAGTTCAGGCCAATCGTAGCGCCGGTCGCGGTCACCGTGACGATCGAGTACATGTGAAATAAATTCTTGGGCGACTTGGGCCTCAGGTTCCACATAATATTTGATACGGTCCTAGGCAAGCTTTGCAATGCTGTCGCATAATATCAAATATCTGAGTTTTAATTAGTGTTAAGATAATGTTATTTAGTCAAGTCTACAATGAGCACTTTTTATATTGCCAAACTAAAAAAGTAGCTGAATTTTTTGCTGGGTAAAGAACCTTTTCACTTAAGTGTAGAGCAGGGATTCCCAAACTATTTTGGGCAAGAGACCCCTTTTCTTAAATGAACTGATACCTCAGACCACACGGTCAAATTATTGCACGCTTATAAAGTTGTTGAAGTTTTTAGAACAATGCCACATGACTACTACTGCCCACTAAAATAGTCATTCTTATAACAAGTTGATACACCTTTTTTTTTTTTCCATGCGGAAATCCCCTCGGATACCACCTGTCGGTGGCATGTCGGACTCGAACCGACTAAAACCGCACGCCGTCTCAGGTACTAATAGCCGGGGAACCAGGTATACCCTAAGTTGATACACCTACTACAACTAATACAGTATCTTGAAAGTTTCACATAAGATTGATTTGAAACGTTCATTTATGTTAATAAATGGGGGTCAATATTTAGACGTCGTGGACCCCCAAAATCAGTTTTCATTTATGTCGACCCCTATTCGATTTCGATCCCAAAGGATCTCGACCACTTTGGCAATCCCTGGTTTAGAGCCTTTTTATGGCATTTTGGGCTCATGAGCACGGTCATTTGTTATTAAATGAACGCTCATGAGCACGGTCATTTGTTGGTAAATGAACGCCCATGAACTCCTGCAACTTAAACATCACCAGTGCGTTGCCGGTCTTTCATCATCATAATCAACAGCCTTTGCTTGTCCACAGCTGGTCATAGGCAAGTCTTGAAGTGCCACTTTTCACAAAAATAGCAGAATAAGATTAGGCTTTTAGTAGACATGGAAATTATTGCAAATTTTAAATGATATTCATTTTATGAAATGATTGGTTTTAGTCATAGCGATTTAATAATAATAATTTAATATACCTCACACATCTCACACACGGCAGTCTGGTCCCAAACTAGTCAGAGCCTGTACTATGGTAACCAGACTGCTGATAAACATACTTATATTTATTTGACGACCGGATGGCGCAGTGGTTTGTGTAACGGATTGCTATCCCAAAGGTCGCGGGTTCGACTCCCGCTCAAGTCAAACATTTGTGTGCATGAACATTTAATTTTTGATTTGGTCTGGGTGTTTCTATCTATAATAAGTATGTATTTACAAAACAAAAGTATATATGTATTTATTTCAGTTGTCTAGTACCCATAGTACAAGCTCTGCTTAGTTTGGGACTAGATGGCGTTGTGTGAATGTGATAGAATATTATTTATTATTATTTCACATGTGATTGTTATTTCGTCATGGACAAAGATAAATGACATTAAAATCAATCATAATTCTTTTTATCAAAGATTACGACTTTTTTTAGGTTTAGACCTTACGCGAATCTTGCGCTAGCGTAATAATAATAATTAAGTAGCAGTGGTTTTATAAATTAGTCACAGGTGTGATTTATCACATGTGATTATGATTTTATTGCATCCCTTGTCTCCAGTAACCACGCTCAAATAAATAAAATGAAACGGAAGAAGTCTTAAGACCGGTTTTTTATGAGGTCTTATTATCACTATGGTCGTTCCGGCCCAAATATTCTGAAGCATGACTTCCTACCGTTGTAAAAACTAGGTCATTTCGTTAAGAAATTGTACTACAAATGCAAAACCTGTCAAAAGGCCCAGGCCGTCAATCTTTCGCACTGGGCACTCTGGGCACAAGCCCAGGGCCCCTCGATCGATAGGGGCCCGATTTCTACCAGATGACCAATCGAAAATCAATATTTATCACCGAAAAACATGACTGACTACAATACTTTTTTGTCCATTCTAACAAACTAGTGCTCAACTAAGTTTGCAGGGCCCCCATTATGCTAATTTGCCCAGGGCCTCCACTGTTTATATGTATATCTTACAAAATGTTTATACGATTGGTTTCGATTTTTCGAAACTAGTTGGTGAAAATAACGATGCTTGCGAGTGATAATGACCTTTGGCATGTCAAAATAACGGCGAGTGTTGGAGTTCGATAACCGGTCACGCACCTCTGATTTTTTTTAGTTTTCGTGCATATTCTATGTTATAACTTACTTAACTGGTAGAAAATCGTGTGTTTAGATGAAATTTGCACTGCACGGATGGCGTAGTGGTTTAAGCGGTCGCCACGCCGCTTCCAACTACGCTCAGTGTTGTGCGTTCGATCCCCACATGGGACGACACTTTGTGTGATCCACAAATTGTTGTTCTGAGTCTGGGTGTTCTTTGTGTCCGTTGCATGTATGTTTGTAAAGTCCCCCGCAACACAGGATATATTCCTAATGCGGGAGTTGTCTTTTTAAAAACAAAAAAAAAAACCCTAAACAAAATAAGTTCTTCAGCCTGGGTGGTTGATTTTTCTGTTTTAATGACTTTTCTAATCAAAGGATGGACTCTATTCTCTTCAAACTTACCCTTATCTGAGAACTGCGGGACTTGTCGGTGTGAAACACCTACTCAAATTCCTTCACTGAATTCGTTTTCTTAAGCTCAATATACCCTTTCTGATTCCAATCTTCTTGTCTCGTTTGATAATAATTACACTCCCATGGGTTAGACAGGTAACCAGCAGAAAGGTAGCTTTTTAGCAATGTTACATGTTACGCAGATCCCAAATTAAATTGGGCAATGAGTTAAGTTACGAGTTGGGTAATGTTAAGAATACAGAGTGTCACCACCCCTATTCATCCCGTGGGTGTCGTAAGAAGCGACTAAGGGAAAAAAACTAGGCAGGACAAGAGCACTGCAGAGAGAAGGAAAACTTGACACAAACCCTATACCAACCCGTCTGGTATAGTATAGACCAAAACCTCCTTTCTGAGGAGAGGCCTATGTGCAGCAGTGGACTATTAAAGGCTGTTGATGAGGGATATGATGAACATCTATGGCTCTCTTATAACAGAGCCCTAGTGAAGGCCAACAGAGAGATAGGTTTATGATCTTATATAAATTTAAAAGTGAGTTTGTTTGTTTGTTACGCTTTCACGCCTTAACAACACCAATTTTAAAAACTCTTTCACCAATAGAAAGTAACATTATCAGCAAGTAAGGTAGCCTACTTTTTACAGCGTTGACCGACATACACGCGGGCGGAGCCGCGGGCAAAAGCTATGATATTATTAACTAGCTGAGACCCGCAGTGTTACCCGCGTTTGTTGTTATAACCGCAGGCAACGCCGCGGGGCGAAGCTAGTCCAAAAAAAGTAGCCTAAGTTACTCCTTATGTCATCAGCTATCTGCCAGTGAAAGTCCCGTCGAAATCGGTGTAGCCGTTTCAGAGATTACCCGGAACAAACAGACAGACAGACAGACAAAATTGTAAAAAATGATATTTTGGCATATGTACCGTGTAAACATACATATGCATTTAATAAAAAGCGGTTATTTTAATATTACAAACAGACACTCCAATTTTATTTATTTGTATAGATGTAAAAGTAAGTTCGTTTGTTTGTTACGCTTTCACACCTAAACCACAACACCGATTTTAAAAATTCTTTCACCAATGGAAAGCTACATTATCAGCGAGTAATAAATGCTATTTTTTACCGCGATAAGCGACATACACGAGGGCGGTACACACACAAGCTAGTTACGTTATACATATCACGAAACGTTTCTTCGGTGTTAAGTAATTCTTTCATTACTTTTCACCGAGACCAACCCCTCCCCCCCCCCTCCGCCGCGCCCGCCTGATATTGGGGGAAGTTGCAGATATCTGCTCGTTTGCCCTCCTATCCATAAAAGAAAACAAGTTTTTTCTTTTTTTACACGCTTTATATTAGCTTCACTTGTATGTTTGTTTGTATGTTTGTAACCGACTCCTTTGGGCGTGATTTTGACTGACTTTAAACGGTCAGAATTCGTTAAAACTTTGTAGATATATCGAGGACCGATGACAATACACTAATTTAAAAAAGAATAAAAAAATATAGTTTAAAAAAAATAAAAAACACGCTTTCTATAGAAAACCAAACTAAAAAATAGAAAATAAATTTGAAAACAAAGCGTGGGGTGCTTTTTACTATTGACAACAGGCACCCAACCTCCCGCACTAGGAATAAATACTGTGTCTGACTTCGTCTGTGTGTGACTTTACAAACATACATTAAACGGAGATAAAGGAAACCCAGGCTCTGGACAATAATTAGTAGACCACACAAAGTGTTGTCCCATATGGGGATCGAACCCACAACACCCAGCGCAGTAGGAAGCGGTGAGATGACCGCTTAAACCACCACGCCGTGTAGTGTAGATTATGATGGTGACACGTTACCGAGGTCACAAAGCATTAATGTATTTAACGACACCTCGGCACTGACCTTCGACAGATTCTATCATGTTCATTGACGTTACTAATTTGCAAGAAAAAAATGGCGATTTAATGTCGTGAACATACCTGGCCTTTTTCGTTTTGCGCAGTCGAATCATCATCTCCAGATAAATCCTTTTGTACCTTGTCCAATGATTGAATCCTCTTCTTGAGAGGCAATTTTGACACCGAATCATCTATCAACAAACAATAAATATTAAAATAGGGAAATACAGATGGCGCTAATGTCACAGTGCAGTACAGTATCAGTTTGCAAAGGAATGTAAAAACAAATCCTAACTAACTAAATAGTGCTATTAACTAAAAGGAATGTAATAACAAATCCTAACTAAATAGTGCTATTAACTAAAAGGAATGTAATAATGTAAAGGCCCGGAGTGATACCACGACCTCGCAGAAAACCGTGTACTATAATTTATTTTTGCTTTTTTAGCCATTAATGATGATTATTTTCTCATTTTCTTTTTACTTGCAGTATTTTGTAGCGTATTCAAGCAAAATATTACGAAAAAAATACCAGACACTAAATAATAGCAGTTTTCTGTTCACTAGGAAATTAAGACTAAATAGTAACAATTGAATAGGTCACAGTAGTAGGCCAAAACCTCCTTTCTGAGGAGAGGCTTATGTCCAGCAGTGGACTGTTAAAGGCTGTTGATGTGCTGTGATGATGATGTGAATAAGTCACATAAGCTTCAACACTCGCTTCTTAGTATGTAGCACAATACACTAACGGATTTTTCGGTATGGAAAAAGCAGTTAATCCTGAAGATCATGATCAGGATAATCGGCCAAATTTATCAAATTATTGTAGTGCGAAGTGCGAAGTTAACGGGCCTATTGGTATAGTGGTTAGTGACCCGGACTGCTAAACCAGAGGTCGTGGGTTCGATTCTCACCCAGGACAAATAATTGTGTGATGAGCACGATGATTTGTTCTGTGTCTGGGTGTAATGTATCTATGATATTTGTAGTATATAGTATTTAGAAATATATAAGTACATTTATCAGCAGTCTGGTTACCATAGCACAGGCACTGCCTAGTTTGGGATCAGACGGCCGTGTGTGAGATGTATAAAGTTAAGTTTTTTTTCCGGACATCTGACAAAGCCATCTAGTTTCAACCTCAGCAGAGCTTGTACTATGAAAGCTAGATTGGCTGATAGAATACTTACATACTTTTTTGTAAATAAATACATACTTGACATAGAAAACACACAAACGCCGAAACAAATATTTGCAGATCACACAAACATTTGGTCCGACCTGCGAATCGAACCCGAGATTGCAGCACGGCAGTCGCATACGCTACCTTTGCACCACCGAGACAGTCAGATATTTGTAGTATACAGTATTTAGAAATATATAAGTATGTTTATCAGCAGTTTTTTTTTTGTTTTTTAAGGCTTACTAGCAACCGAAATTACTAGTATTTCCATTAAGCTAAGTTAAATTGCTTGTGTTAGGAGAAGGTTTACGTCGGTAGTGTACTGGTCAGGATTCGAACCCACGACCTCTTGATCGCAAGTCCAATGTCTTAACCAGTAGGCTAGCGCCGCTTTAAGTTAAGTTATTCAATTTCATACGACGTTTTAAAGTGGGTCCACCAACATCAACAAAGATTCCGACATACATACATACCAAGCTAATAAAATCGTGCTAAAAAAACCTTAATACGTGGATCTGAACTAATTGTGATAAAAATGGATGCTGCACTATTCTGTAGCGGAATAAATCGTCTAAATATCTCTAATAAGTTCAGTTTCTGAGTTCTGACTTCTCTCACCTTTGCTCGGAGGAAATTCTTCTTTTACTTCGACCTCGATATAGTCCGGTGGTGGTCCATTCTTCACTGAGTCTTGCGAACTATCTTCTATATCCGGTTTGATCCATACTTCTTCTTCTCTGACTGTTGAAATACTGATAGATGAATATCAATTCATGGAAATAAAGGCATAATTTATAGTTTGCCACTAGCTGAGACCCGTGCTGTTATCCGCGTTTGTTGTTATAACCGCGGGCAACGCCGCGGGGCGAAGCTAGTCTAAAAAAGTAGCCTAAGTTACTCCTTATGTCATCAGCTATCTGCCAGTGAAAGTCCCGTTGTAATCGGTCCAGCCGTTCCAGAGATTACCGGGAACAAACAGACAGACATACAGACAGACAGACAGACAGACAAAAATGTTATTTTGGCATATGTACCGTGTAAACATACATCTTGCATCCTAAGCATTTAGTAAAAAGCGGATATTTTAATATTACAAAACGGACACTCCAATTTTATTTATTTGTATAGATATTCCGTGTAGTGATGGATTAAGAATACAGAGTGTAACCACCCCTATTCTTCCGTGGGTGTCGTAAAAGGCGACTTAGGGAGCAAACTACGCAGGACAAAAGCACTGCAGAGAGAAGGAAAACTCGACACAAATCTTATACCAACCCGTTTGGCCAGCGTGGTGTAGTAGGCCATAACCTCCTATCTAAGGAGAGGCCTATGTCCAGCAGTGGACTAGTAAAGACTGTTGATGGATGATCAATCATCACCTATTCCTACCTCTCCTTCCTGCTCTGTATATGCGTTAAAATTTTGCTCTACCTAGGGCCAAGTACTTTTCCCTAGACGAAAGATGTAGTGTACTGTAGATGCCACAAGTCAATATAAAATTTCACCATGAATCGGTTGAGTAGTTAAGGCATGAAAGCGTAACAAACAAACCGACTTACTTTCACATTTAACCTATTTCTTAGCGTTCATGGATTAACCGTGCGGGTGCCGAGTCCATCGCGTGATAGATGGGGGCAACACATGCTACTTCGACAGCGTCTGGGACTTGCGAGCCAGGTATAGGTTTAGGTAGTACCCCTTGCGACGCGTAAGCGCTCATCTCCACTGTCTGCTGTGTTACCCCCTCTATCTAACCATATTTGATTTGCCGCTTTAGATATTCGTTCAAGATCTTACTGAAGCTCTTGGCAATCCAAGGTCTTTAAGCAGGTTATAGAAATATTTAGCTGGTATACCCCTCGCTCAAGCATTTTTAGTTATTTTGTTGGTTAAGTCAGATTACTTGTTTCTTTTAATATTACTAGCTAATTTTGCGTACAGTCCGTTTTGTGTACATTTAGTGCTTTAAGTAGTCTGTTAGCTCTAAGTTTTCTTTCATCTCTATATTAGTAAATTTATAAAAATTTGGTAGGATATATTTATGTTTACATGGATGGCTGACGGATGACTGCACGGATGACGTAGTGGTTCAGGCGGCCGCCACGCCGCTTCCTACAATCCTACAATAATTAATTATATTAAATTATACTACTTAATTAATTATTGTTTACAACAGAATGTAATTAATTAAGTAATAAATACATTTGTCTTAATGTGTCCTCTTGAATGCTACATTCAAAGGATTAATATTTATGTTAATATCAATGCATATTTATTTATGTACTAGCTGAGACCCGCGGTGTTACCCGCGTTTGTTGTTATAACCGCAGGCAACGCCTCGAGGGCAAGCTGGCCTAAAAAAGTAGCCTAAGTTACTCCTTATGTCATCAGCTATCTGCCAAAGTCCCGTTGAAATCGGTCCATCCGTTCCAGAGATTACCCGGCACAAACAGACAGACTGACAAAAATTGAAAAAAAATGTTATTTTGGCATACCTATGTACCGTGTAAACATACATATTAGACTTGCAACGAATATTCGGTTACTATTCGGTATTCGGCCTATTCGGCTGTTTTTATTATATTCGGCCGAATACCGAATATCTACATATTATTCGGCCGAATACCGAATACTTAAATAATATATTTTGTCATTGAGAAATAATTGGTAAAATGAAAAATTAAAATCGATTGATTACGTATATATTCATATTTTCATTTCTGTGATAATCATTTAAGTAGTCATTGGTGCATAACACAGGTAAATAATCATCTTCTGAATTGGAAAAATGGAGGATTTTATGTATTTGAATAATTGTGGTAATCAAAATTTAGAAGGGTAAGGTTCCTATTTCTTTTATAATCATTTATTAATTAGTCATTGGTACATAAAACCGGTACATAATTTAATTCACGTCTGTACAAGTTTTTGGCGCTAAAATCCAGCCGAATACTTTTGCCTAATATTCGGCTACGAATATTCGGCGAGGCCCCTGACTTCGGTCAGGGGCCTCGCCGAATATTCGGTATTCGGTATACTGCCGAATATACTATTCGTTGCAAGTCTTATACATATGCATTTAGTAAAAAGCGGTTATTTTAATATTACAAACAGACACTCCAATTTTATTTATTTGTATAGGATAGATGTATAGATGTATCCATGTTCTTAGTTGCTCCAATGCACCTATTCACACTCATTTCTACATCATCCTAAGGTATGATACGGTATGGTAAATAGGTGCATTGAATGTGGTGTATTTCCTCATTTGATGAAACATAGTAAGATCATTCCTTTATTCAAGGCGGGTAGCACGTCTAATCCTACAAATTATAGACCAATTTCAGTGTTGCCTACTTTCAGTAAAATTTTTGAGAAGATTAAACTGGATCAGCTACAAACTCACTTTAGTGCAAGCAAAATTCTACACATCAAACAGTTTGGATTCAGATAAGGTCGCTCGACAAGTGATACCGGTGTTGAACTTTTGGAAAATATATTTAGTGCCTGGGAGGATGATCAGGATGCCCTGGGTGTTTTTTGTGATTTATCTAAGGCATTTGATTGCATTTTGCATTCAAAGATTCCGTTATATTCAGGTGAAACCATATTAAAAATGTAGTTAATCTTGCATCAAGTATTTAAAAGCCAAACAGTTATCTGTTTCATCCCTAGACTATAATATAATTTATTAAGTAAGAAAGTAACTAAGCAAGTAGTGATTTCAAATTATTTTTCAATTATTTACATATAATAATTGAAAAATAATTTGAAGTATTTCAAGTTTTCCATGCTGTCTTTTAACTGAAATGATGATGAAGTTTAGTAGATGAAGCAGCAAAATTTTGTGTTTACAAAATTATAAAGAATATAACTGTTTTTGGAGCTAAATACTCATTTGAGAATTATATTTGAAACAAGTTGGTATCCATGACTATATTCGCTTGGAATTTGAAAAGCGCTGCCGTAATAGGTTTGATTGCAGGACTGGGCAAAATTTTAAAGGGTTTTTCTAAGAGGAAAAATAGCCTAAGTTACTCCTTATATAGACAGCTTTGGTTTTCTTCTTCAGATTACCTGGTAGTAAAATATTATCATAATCGGTAGAGCCATTTAGAAAATTACCCAGAACACAGACAAAAAAAAATAGGCATAGGTATTGTGCAGATAACCATGTGAGAATGAAAAAAACTATTATTTTGACATTACAAACACACTTCAATTTCATTTATTTATATGGATAAGTTATATTTACTTTGATAATATTTAGAATAAACATCACTTATAGTAATCCTGACTTCTATTATAAATGCAAAAGTAACTCTGTCTGTATATCTGTCACACTTTCATGACTAAACCACTGGACCGCATTTAATGAAATTTGACATGGTGATACTTGGATTCTTGAAGAAAGTCATTTTTCATTAAAGGCTACTTTTCAGAGCGATAACTGACATACGGGCGAGCTAGTAGTGAATTATAATAATAAAAAGAATATATATGCTTACGTTTAAAGTCGCCCAGTAAACCATTAACGTGTTGTATCTCGTTCGTTTTTTCATCAATTTCTGGATCAATTCTTTCAGTTTTCACAGATATTTCAACATTGGTCTCTGTTTCCATAGTCAATCTACTTTTATTGCTCTAAAAATGATACTACGTCAGTTGCGGACACCGACACAAAAAAAAACTTTATTTTCTTTTCATTCTTGGACACAAGACACTCCCCTATTTACTAATTTTTTGCATCAAACAATATTCTAAACTAGACTTATTTATTTATATTTATAACACGTATTTCTTAACAAAATTATAAATACAGTTGCTATCTCCGGTTGCTTTGTACGCGTATATTTACAGTTACTTTTTGTGTGACGTGTAATAAAAGGCTGAACAAATCATGAAGTAAAAATAATTAATTCAAGAAATAAATATATCTTTAGTTATTTCTGCTTAATTGTTTGAATGAAATACTATTTTTACGGCAATCGATAATCACGTCACCTCCACAGAAAACTTTTGTCAATTGTCACAATTCGTGGTAGTGTTGTACGATTTCATTAAAGATAAAAAAAAGCGCAAGAATAGTAACCTAACATACTGAACTAAGCAATTCTCGATTTGTCGCTTTATTAAACAACAAATATTTCACAAATGTATGTAAATTTTGTGAAGAACTATCGTTAGATCGAGGAAAAAGGGTTTTAAGTCTTTTTGCCAAGAATATCTCAGCAACTTAAAGTCGGGAAGTTAGTGGTGTACTATCCTGTGCCTTTAAACATTAGTAAAGCTCTAATGCCCTAACATTGAAATTTATTCAGTTGCCAAATTGCCTTTCTATGGAATTATGAGTGTGCGGCCAACCGACGACTTCGGACTACTGTGGTCTGAGTCCCGTTTCCCTATTAGAGACTTCCTGTAAACCTAACCTAAACTTCATCGCCCTATCCGATATCCTTACCTCAATCTACCTTACCTTTATCTTTTACGATTGCATTCCTAACGAAGGTGGGTACCAGCCACTAAAAATAAAGTTGGGAGGAGCCCAGAAATATTGATATTTATAATACACAGAAACGCCCAGACCAATGCAAAATATTAGTGTTCTTAAGTAATATAAATAGGTAATCATCACATACATGATCTATGTTACGGAAATTCATTACAGATAAACCGCTTAATCCTCGCCTGCTACTTTTGGTGGAGGTAGGACGAGAACGGAGACCGGCAGGCTCATTCTTCTTTTCGAGATGGAGGGTATTTTTATAAATAATCAAGTACAACTATTTTGTTAAATTTATTTCGAACCATTACACTTATTTAAAAACTAAACGTTTATTTTTGGGTAAATAATTTTATTTGGTTGATTGAAGTTATGCCTCGGCCTCAGAGAATGACCGGATACCTGGCAGGTTACCTGTCGCCTCACGTGCCTTCTATACTATAATAAATGTACGTGTTATGTTCATTCGTTATTGCCACAAATTCGGTGGCGCAATAGTAGCGTATGTGACTGCTGTGCCGAGATCTCGGATTCGATTCCCGGGTCGGTCCAAATGTTTGTATGATCTGCAAATATTTCTTTCGGAGTTTGGATGTTTTCTATGTATAATTTGTAAGTATTTACAAAAAAGTATTTTAGTATTGTATCAGCCAGTCTAGCTTTCATGGTACAAGCCGTGCTTAGTTTGAAACTAAATGGCGTTGTGTAAAATATTTATAAAATTTAAGGAATTATTATTCCTCATTTTGACTAGGTACTTTTTTTCTTTTGGTTTCAACAGCCTTTAATAATTCACTTCTGGGCATAGACCACTCCTTAGAATGGATGTTTTGACCTACTATACCATACCTACCATGTACCCCTAAAATCTCCTGAAAACCTACAAAGGCGTACAAATCTCAAATACAAAGGTTTGAAGGTCGCTTCGGAAACACCGCAGCTAACAAGTTAATTCCATATTAACAAGAATTAAGTTATACAAGATCGCCTGTCAGTCAAATTTCGACCGTTTTGAATGTCCTGTTTAATTTCATTGGCCAGTCTAAGTTGAACTGTAACTCCAGTAGTGATCACTAGGCTAGGCTGTGAATTTGATCCCAATGAGGACAAATATCCAATCATCCAATCCGTCACGGATTAAGAATGCGGCGTGTTACCACTCCTTTTCATCCCTTGGGTGTCGTAAGAGCTGACTAAGACAACAGCACTGTAAAGAGATGGAAACTTGACACAAACCTTATACCAACCCATCTGACTAGCGTGGTATAGTAGACCAAAACCCCATTTTTAAGGAAAGGCCTATGTCCAGCAGTAGACTACTAAAAGCTGTTGATGCGATGTGAGCACAAATAATTAGGATGAGTATCATCATCATTCATCATTTGTTATGTTATGCCTAATTTGGGTTTAAAGGTCAACTCTTGTAATAAAAATTATTTCAACAGTTAGTTCCGATCGACTCTATCTCACAAATTTTATTATCATAAAAGGTATTCTCGTAGTAAAGTATGTATTTAACATCCAACGTTGACTGTAATGTGATTGTATCGTATTATGAATGAAAGTTGAATCGGTATTCTGCTAGTCTATAGTAATACTTTACTACGAGAATACCTTTTGTGACATTTGTGAGATCAAGACTAGGACGGAACTGAATTTTGAATGAATTTTAATTACGAGAATTGACCCATAGACATTATAATGTTTAAGCGACTAAGTTACATAAACATTAATTTGGAGTTACTAAGGTTCTTGGAATGAACTCCATGCATCTGTTTTTCTGACAAATATAATCCTGCAAAAGTTTAATAGTAGAGTAAATATGGTTCCTTTAGTACAGTCGTGTAGCATCTTCATTTTAATTTGAAAAAAATCTTTAAAATGATTCATTTATGACTTTTATGTCTTTATTTATTATAAAATAAACGTCATACATTTAAAACTATGACAAAAAAGTAATGTAAATATTACACGATTCCTATATATATTGCAAAATGCACGAAAATGCATATATAAATGAAATAAATACAAGTCCGAGTGAGTTTCTTATAATCTCAATATTAAAAAAAACATTTATTTTCTCTTTACATGATTTGTTATGTAAGTTTCGTATTCTGTTTGTGCGTCCTGGCTAACAATAAAAAATATATTTAAGTAATTATTTTACACTAATATGTTGTATATTTGTTAAATACAAACGGTTTTAACAAATATAAAATACAGTTCATTTCAGTAGTCCATATTAATTTGTATTTTCACATCTCATATTTAAAAACGATAATTACAATACTTTATATTATTGGTACAATTGTTAACTATAATGGTAGTTGTTAAAGTGTCATTACTTCTGTGTAATAATCCATTGTGGACTTTAGTCCGTGGTAGACTTTAGTTAACATTAATAGAATAAACTAAAGTCTTATAAGTTCAAAATAAACAGTATGGTCTAGTCTGTTGTTGATTTGTGTTAGACAAATATATACTTTAGTCCAGTACAAACTTTAGTTCTTGTTACTAGTATGAACTAAAAGTCTTAAAGGTTCACAATAAACAGTATGGCCTAGTCTGTTGATGATTGGTTTGTAGTGGACAACGATAGACTTTAGTCCAGTACAAATTTTAGTTCATATTACTAGTATGAACTAAAGATTTAGAGGTTGACAATAAACAGTATGGCCTAGTCTGTTGTTGATTTGTGTTAGACAAAGATATACTTTAGTCCAGTATAAATTTTAGTCCATGGTAGGCTTTGGTCTATATCACTTGGTGAACGAGTCTTTAAGATTTACAATAAACTGTACGACTTAGACTCTACAAGGATTAATTTGGAGTAGTACAAACGTTAATCAGAATTTAGTCCACTATACACTTTAGTTAGCTACGGACTTCAGTCAATCTAGACATTATTACAATAGTCATCGGTCTCATATATAATTATGTTTACTTAAGGGAATTTACTTGATCACATAGTGTTCAGCCTGTGAGCACAGCCAGTGCAACCTGGTCGAAACGTCAGGCAATTCAAAGGTATGTAATGTGTTACGTGATCGCATTATTAACCGTATGTATACATAATCATACGTCATAGACCTTAAAAGTTTAAAAGTTAGACATTGGTCTCAATATAAATAAGTCCTTATGGACTAAAACTTTTACAACTGCAATCGACCATCAAGTATATCAGAATCAATTTAGAATCAAAAAGACATCAATAGATATTAAAAACGGGACTGTTAGGACGCTAAAACATTAACAAATCACACACTCAGTCCCTTCGGTGGGCACAGTCCACGTGCACTCAAATTATCCGCTCATAAGCAGCAAAACAACTAAATATAAACCTTATGTTATATACCCAAAGTATAATATTCAATTGAAAGTTGAGATTTAATTTTATCTATTATAGTTTTCAAGCAAAATTTATACTATGATTAATAAATTATAAAGGTAGTTTTACGCTGGGGCTATGATTGTATGATGAAAGAGATGGGTTATGTTGCGTTATTTGACATTTGTTATATATAATAGGACATTAAATTGTCAATTATTGACATGTTTTTTTTTATGACAGCCATGTTTTGTCAGTTATTTGGTATGGTACATATTTACAAAAATCGTTTCACGGTGGTCTATTTGCAGTAATATATGATTTAATGTATTATAAACTGTAAAGTTCATATAAAATCGAAAAAGATAAATATTATTTAAATCTAATGAATTTTTTCACGAAAAACGAATAAATCTCATACATATATTACCATTGTGTTTAGTAACATTTCATAAATAAATTACTGGCACTGTTACTGTTTTAAAGGTAAGTCTAGTGAGTTAGCACTCTTAGGAATAAATAAAAAAAGGTTATATTTTGTAGTAAATACTTTTGGTATCTTTTCCTTATTGAGAGACACCAGGCCCTCAATTCTGCTGTTTCATGTTCACGCCAAGCCAGTGTCATACCACTGACAGGCTATTGAGATGCCATCGAGTGGCCATTGGCATCGGTATAAATATCGGTAGTCTACACTAACTCAGTGTTTTTACAGTGGCGATGGAATGGCAGTGGCTCATCAGTGGTGATATCAAAAAGATCGCCATATTTGAAAAAATAAATAAATCATTTTCTTATAATTTGAAAATATATTACGTTTTTTTTGCGTGTCAGTGTTATGACACTGGCTTGGCGTGAACATAAAATAGCAGAATTGAGGCCCAGATCTGCGGTTCCTCGGTCCCCCTATACACCACCACTCCATTCCCACTGAGTGACACAGAGTGGGTTCAATAAGAAAGCTCATTTACACTTATTCCAGTTTTATTAACTCGGATATATTTTCTTATAACGTCATAATCATTGGTATGCAACTATTTAGCTTAATTGATATCAATAATTATCTTAATAACTAATAAATACCCCTTTTAAGGGTAACATGAATTGTGCTGACCATGATTGGTGTAATTCTGTCGAAATGTCGGGTAATTAAAATATTATATAATAAATTATAAAAGTTATCGCAACTTACTCCACATCTCATTTCACGGGCCCCTTGGGCAAGTGTTTAGTGACCCTGATTGTTAAGCCGAAGGTTGTGGGTTCGCTTCCCACCCAGGACAAATATTTGTGCGATGAGCACTATCATTTGTGTCTGGGTGTCATTTTTCTATAATATGTATGTATTTAGAAATATATAAGTATGTTTATCAGCAGTCTGGTTACCATAGCACAGGCTCTGCCTGGTTTGGAATCAGGCAGCCGTGTGTGAGGTTATTATGTCTGTTGGAATAATGATACTTTTTGATTTATATATGTTTTCTACTTAATTATTTGTCACATCGCTCCAGTGTAAACCTACCCTAAGGTTAAATTTTCGCTGTTTTCGTATGACTAAGAGAGTTCATGTTTAGCGCTAGTATGGACTGTCAATATGAAGCGCCAGTTTTAACTGGTCGACACGCTGTCTAAGAACTCGACGCAGGTGAAGGGGAAATGGCCGTACTTGCCGTTCAACCTGCCCTCCCATTGGCCGTTTATGTTTATCTTTTCCACCTGTAATAGAAAAAAAAGAAAATTATAGTTTTTTTATAATTCAATTGAATTCACTATCATAACTATTACTGTCAGTAATAAGTAAGACAACATAAACTGTAAATTTAATTATAATATATAATTATAACAATAATATAAATAAACTCAGTGTCACTGGATGGTAGCTATTACCTATATCTCAGGTTTTACCTTGTTAGGTACCAGCCGCATATTTTATAATTAATTGTTATACCTAAAAAAATATATATCACCCTTTTTTTATTATATTCTGTATATTACCTTGAATTAATAAATAAATAAAATAAAAGCTATGGAGCCATCGCAGACACACAGATATGCAGATACACACCTTAAACTTATAAAACTCCTAGTTTTGTACATATGTAAGACCTACCTGTTTATAAACATTTCACGCTTTGATCGAAATTGTTAACTCGATGTTTATAATCTATCTGCTGTAAATATAATAAAATAAGCTGTTGGTTTGGATGGATTTTGGATTGGGAGGTGCCATTAGATTCGTTCTAATTATGGGAGTGACACTGGGTATATGAAAATTTTAAAATTAATCAAATCAAATCAAATCAAACTGTTTATTTGTATACAAATATATATTAAACAAAAATCTTAGAAACTAATTTTGGCCGCTGTATACTACCCTGTAGGTGGGTAAATTTTAAATACAAATCAATTACACTAAACACAAAAAATATTAAATTGTGATATATTAATAAATAAATAAATAATCTTAATACTAAGTTATATTATTAGTACTTAAGCAGAATTTTTAAATTATGTCATATCAATAATACTGGTTTTCAGTGTTTTAGTAACAAATACTACTTACAGTCAATGAACAAACAATTGTTAATGTTATTATAAATTATCTAAGAGGAAGACATTTATGTTATAATACGTTTCGGAACGAAGTTCCTTGTCGCACGTCACACCCTCTGAGCGGATAGGAGCTAGACAGAAAACTGTGTAACAAGACTTTTGCCGACACTATAGTAAACGTCTACTAAAAAGCGAATGGAACTTCGTTCCGACTGGGGGTCCTAGACCCCTAACGCTTTTTTTTCTATCATAAACGCTTTTAGTTAACGTTTAAATTGACTTATTTCACATATTTACGAATATTTTTTTTGGAGCCATGCCGAGGACATTTTTATCAAAAAGTGCACTTGTGCTCATTTATCAAAAAGTATCTTAGAATCAGCTGTTTGTAAATTTTAGGCACATTTTCAACGTAATCGAGTTTTTGTTTTTTTTTTTTAAATAGACAATTTCTTTTCAATAGTTAGCTTGTTGTGAACATAGAGAAGAATTTAGAATGTTTATGTATATGCGCACCTGTATAATATCTCCGACTTCTAGTTTGAGCGCGGTCTTGTCGTAGGCGTTGGGCACCCGCGGTTGTTTTACCACCGCCGGCGCAGGCAACGTGCGCTGTAGGACATACAAACAAACATTTATTTATAGATAGAATGGAATTCTTACAGTGTGCACTTGGGCATTTTTTGTTTGTTTTTATGGTACAAGGGGGGCAAACGAGCAGACGGGTCACCTGATGGTAAGCAACTACCGCCGCCCATGGACACCTGCAACTCAAAAGTCACAAGTGCGTTGCCGCCCTTGGAGTCCCTCCCGCTCGTAACCGCACTCATTCGTGAAAGGCAACGAAAGATTTGCTTAACACCGGTTTTCTGTGAGGCCGTGGTATCACTCCGGTTGAGCCGGCCCATTCGTGCCGAAGCATGGCTCTCCCACGGTAAAAATTATATATACTCGTATAATTTTTTTATCTGTGTTTCATTGTTATAATTATATGCTGTCCTGTGAATCCCAGAATAAAAGTTTTTCTTTTTGGCTAACAAAAATATTTGCTATCATTTTTATAGTTAAGAAGTATTTTTTTAACCGACATCAAAAAAAGAGGTTTTCGATTTGAGGAATTGAAGAGGGGTCATGAATCTAGTTCATCAAGAGACCCTCTCAAACACACACAAAATCTTTTTACCTAAAAATTGACTAAAAATCTTAAGATTAAGTCACAGTTCCAGCATCTCTTAAATATTTTCCATTTCAAACCCCTAACTTTCCTAACCAATTAATTAATAATAGGTTTGCCTTCCATTTCATCATCATTATCATCAACAGCCATTAATAGTCCACTACTGGACATCGGCCTCTCTTTAGAAAGGAGGTTTTGGCCTACTATACCACATTCCTTCTCTTTCCAGTTCCTTCTCTTACGACACCCACGGGATGAATAGGGGTGGTGACGTTCCGTATTCTTAATCAGTCATCACACAGATAATAGCGTAGCTTTAATTAAGTTAAATTATACCTGACGAAACGCATTACGCCTTTGCCTATTTCATTGCCTTCGGGGCTATAAGCATGGGTGACGCCTGTAGCCTCGAAGGTGTAAATATGTATTTACGGGGGAGTTCAGTGGCAAACATACACACATATATAAATAGTATGTTACCTGCATATTTGTCATACTGGTTCGTTGTTGCTGTTTGTTTGTCGGTGGGCTCGAGGGCTCGTTTAATTGATTCAGCGCCTCCGTGTGTGGGTACGGCATACCTGACGGATCCAGGATCTGAAGAGTATCACACAGTACATTGAAAAAAAGTTGTAATAATTAATATTTCACGAGACTCTTAATTTAAAAGCAAAACTGAGTATGCATGTGTGTTTGTATGCATGTAACGATGAAACGGCTGGATACATTTGGGAAAAATTGATAATAATAATAATAATATTCTACCACATTCACACAACGCCATCTAGTCCCAAACTAAGCAGAGCTTGTACTATGGGTACTAGACAACTGATATAAATACATACATACATGTATAATTTATATATATATTATACATAGAAACACCCAGACCAAATCAAACATTAAATGTTCATGCACACAAATGCTTGACTTGAGCGGGAAGCGAACCCGCGACCTTTGGAATAGCAGTCTGCTACACAAACCACTACGCCATTCGGTCGTCGATCGTTTTTGATCAATGATAGATAGTGTTCTGAATTATATAAAAGCACGTGATAAATGCTACAATGTTTAGGTATTGCGTCGGGTTTTTAAATGGTATTTTATTACATTACAAATCATTTTCTTTTGTTAATATTGTGTGAATCACGGTGTTACACAATACATACCATGCCTCAAGCCGGACACTTTTTGTGAAGACAACCGGATCCCTTCTGGGTCCATACGTCATCAATCATCAACAGCCTATACTAGTCCACTGCTGGACATAGGCCTCTCCTTAGAAAGGAGGTTTTGGCCTACTATACTACGCTGGCCAGACGGGTTGGTATAGGGTTTGTTTCAAGTTTTCCTTCTCTTTGCAGTGCTGTTGTGATGCTTAGTTTGCTCCCTTAGTCGGCTCTTACGACACCCACGGGATGAATTGGGGTGATGACAATTTGTATTCTGAATCCGTCACCACACGGACATACGTAAGTCCATCAAATAACTATTTTCTCTATTTTTTTCAAAATTGTAGATTCAGTATCTTTTTATTTTAATTTGAGCATTGTTTGCATTGCATTGAGTTATGCTTGGGGTAACAGCAATTTATATGTTATAAGATTCTGAGCAACTTGGCTGTAACAGACGGACAAACAGACGCAGAGTAATCTTATAAAACTTTTTTAACTGATCCGTTAAACATGTAAACTAAAATTAAAGAGCCCACCCAAACAACAAGATGCTCCAACAACCCTCAACGGTTGGTATAAGAGTATTAAAAGTACCTACCCTTTGAACGTAGGGCACTGGTATAGACCCCGTTCGTCCTTGACTGTTTCGTGCCGTCCACCATTGTTCCTCGTCTCTGTTGATCACCATCAAGCGATCACCACGACGGAAGGGGAGGTCATCTGCATCCTGTGGGTAGTTTTGGAATACTTTATACAAGGTTTTACAGAAGCGTGTTTTAATATTCTAGAGTCCTACAGAAGGCACCGTAAAATTTAACAAAGATCTTTGATTTTTCATAAAAAAAATATCTATTTACATACATTAGGACTTTTTCAACTTAACAGAACTATTTGTTAGCGACAACGGCCCTAAAATTTGAACAAATCTTTCTGTAACAACCTGTGTGTGTATATGTATAGTTTTTTTTTTTGTTATTTCTGTAACTTAATGTTACGCTCATATTGTTTATATATTTATATAAATGTTTAGTTGGTTTGTGTAAGCGGCAAAATCTCAAAAAGTGCCGCAAGGATTGAGCTCAAATTTTGACACGAAATACAAACCGCTTCGTTACGTAACGCGTTACGGCGCCAGTCTGTCTGGCTTCCGTTTCTCTCACGCATACGGTAGCGGTAGGTAGGCTCCTCCTCTCTCACTCTAACCCACAGCGGTAGCCGTATTTCGGAGAGACGCTTTACATAAAATTGAAGCAATAACCTAAGTTTTTCTCAAGTTAAACAATTTCAATATTACTATTTAAATTCAACTTAGATTAGTTTAAGTTATCAGTTCTGTTTGTTACCTCTTCTCTTTAATGCAACCACAATATGCAACAGCGAAGCGCGGCCGAGTACAGTTAGTATTTAGATAAAATCGTAACTTTTTATCGTATTTACAAGATAAGATAAAGTACGATAATCTTTTTAATTCATCTATATTTCGATCCACTATCGACATTTATATATTTTTACCAGACTACGCCAGGAGGGTTGTGTTTTTCGAGTGTACCTCACACACACGCGTAGTTCTTCTACATACAGACGTTGAGTATTCCAAATATGATAATGCTTCCGTGCGTCATATTTGTATAAAAAGGGGTTCAAAGAATTCTCTTCACGTACATAGTAATGCGTATATGTAATATATTATTATGCATGTGCTAAAATGAGTCAACCTGTGACCGCTTAAAAACCTAGTACTTTTATTATAATTCCTACCCCTTTGGGGATTAAGATATAAGTGATCGCGCGAATTCTCGTACATCATCCTCCCAGCATTTTTTACTAAACTAGGTTGGGGTCGGCTTTAAGTCTACTATGATAAGGATAACCTTCGATTTTTTTATGTGAAGCTACAGGCATCAGCCATCCACAGCCCAAGTACTAGGCGATATCGAAGTTCTGTAGAAAGACTTGTTGGATTTTTTAGAGTTCAACTGCCTGTTCACTGTTGTTCACAGTTGTTCGTATGGCAACCGGGACCGGACCGACGTGCTCTCCGAGAGGGTATCAATATGTTAAGAATGGTCACCCATCCATGGACTGACCTGGCGAGAATTGCTTAACTATGCAATATGTTAATCTGCTCGGTTACCACTTGGCCACGAGCCCCTCTAGCGAATTCCCGTACATATACATACATAATTAAATTCGGGCTAGATATTAACACCTACATTTCGTTTTAAAACTATTTCAACAAACTTTGTGTGTGTGTTTACTCAAATGAATAGAACCTATTGAGATTATTATCATCATAGAACTATTACTAATAAAGTGGATGAGCAGGAACGTCAATTTAAATACAAAACAATAAGCAATGCCCCTTCCATTTTGGGCAGTGGTAGATTTTTGGCTGTCTTTATTCGTTTAGACGCCATATTTAGACATCAATAAATGATATGACAAAACCCTGGTTAAACTTATTACGAAAACATTTCAAGGTTGCAATATTATTTGTCGTAACTAGATATAGAATAACCTCAGCTCCTAAAGGGATGGAACTATTGTGATTCAGTATTTTATGTTTTATGTGTTTTATCCGTGTGGTGACGGATTAAGAATACGGAATGTCACCACCCCTATTCATCCCGAGGATGTCGTAAAAGCCGACTAGGGGAACAAACTGGACAGGACAACAGCACTGCAAAAAGAAGGAAAACTTGAAACAAACCCTATACCAACCCGTCTGGCCAGAGTGGTATAGTAGGCCAAAACCTCCTTTCTAAGGAGAGGCCTATGTCCAGCAGTGGACTATTATAGGCTGTTGATGATGATGATGAGATTTTATGTTTGAAAGGTGAACCTCGCTCTGGCCCTGGACAGCCGCTGGAGCTTCGAGGAGCACTTCGAGCGGATGTTGCCCCGAGTTCGCGGTAGTGATAGTAGTACATAGTAGCTAAAAGCAACTTCTTTGTGATTTAATTATACGACTTAAAACTTAAATCTATACAAATAAATAAAATTGGAGTGTCAATTTGTAATATTAATATAACCGCTTTTTACTAAATGCATATGTATGTTTACACGGTACATATGCCAAAATAACATTTTTTACAATTTTTGTCTGTCTGTCTGTTTGTTCCGGGTAATCTTTGGAATGGCTGGACCGATTTCGACGGGACATTCACTGACAGATAGCTGATGACATAAGGAGTAACTTAGGCTACTTTTTTTAGACTAGCTTCGCCCCGCGGCGTTGCCCGCGGTTATAACAACAAACACGGGCAACACCGCGGGTCTCAGCTAGTATAAAATAAAAACAAAAAAATATTGCTTCCAAAATACAAAAATTAAATCAATAACCCTACTTCTTTTAAATCGGTTACAACGAATCATTACTATCGTTACTATAGTAGGCTAGCATACAACTTTTTATCGTACGCAAACGAATCGGCGAACGGAAGCCCACGTCTCATACCCTCTCGCCCCCCCCTCTCCCCCCATGCTATATTTAGGCGGTATGAAATGTGATAGCAATGATTGTGCCTATTAGTCATACGCTCGTCAACAGAACCATGCCAGTGCTAAATATAGGTAGGAATTCACTGGATACCTGTTTTTTTTCTATGCTATAACGTATCAACTGACCGTATGCGCTAAATAGTATAAATATTTGGAGTTGGACGCGCTTTGAACCTACCTTTTTTTTGTTATAAACTTAATACAGATACTTTTTAAACGACTTCTTAACTATTTTTAACGACTTATTTTTTTTATTTGTTACGTCCGAAATTCGTTATGTATTTGTAATTTTTTTTATTTCCAAGGGTTTTTTTCCCATTTTGTCCAGTTATCAAGAAAAACATTTCAAAATACTCATTCAATTTAATTTAGTATTGAGTTCTCCGTACAAAAAGCTTGTCTTGTAAATCAATTTCCCGGCGACCTATTTAGCTTGCCGCGTCTCACGACGAAATGTTATAAAACAATCCATAAATTTAAATATATAGACATCTTTCAGAGGAATCTGTAACAGAAGAGGAACCGAGAATTGAAAAATTATCTGTTAAATCGAATGTTGATATTACAAGTAAGTTATAAGTATAATAAAAACATAAGTTATTATTATTCTCTTTATTATTAATAATAATAATAACACATCTCACGCACACCCATCTGTTCCCAAATTAGGCAGATCCTGTACTATGCTAACCAGACTGCTTATAAACATCTTATATAAATAATATTTTCATTATCATCAATCAACAGCAGCCTTAATTTGTCCACTGTTGGACATAGGCCTTTCCTTAGAAAGGAGGTATTGGCCTACTATATCACGCTGGCCAGACGCGTTGGTATATGGTTTGTTTCAAGATTTCCATCTCTTTGCAGTACTGTTGTTCTGCGTAGTCTGTTCTCTTAGTCGGCTCTTGCGACACCCAAGGGATGAAAAGGGGGTGATGACACTCCGTATTCTTAATCTGTCACCACACGGATAATTCAATATTCTATTCATATATTTCTAAATACACACATATTATAGATAAATAATTATATTTTTATTATAAATACTCCCAGACACTGAACAAATGATCGTATTTAGCAGAAAATCAATTATCCAGGGTGGGAATTGCACCAACAGCCCCTGGCTTCAGTCAAAATCTAACTAATCTCACTAATCACTAAATGAACAGGTCGATAATTATCACAATGGAATAAACAATATCATCATCAACAGCCTTTAATAGTCCACCGCTGGACATAGGCCTCCCCTTAGAAAGGAGGTTTTGGCCTACTATACCACGCTGGCCAGACGGGTTGGTATAGGGTTTGTTTCAAGTTTTCCTTCTCTCTGCAGTGTTGTCGTCCTGCGTAGTTTTCTCCCTTAGTCGCCTCTTACGACAGCCACGGGATGAATAGGGGTAGTGACACTCTATATTCTTAATCCGTCACCACACGGACAAATAAACAATATAGTGATTTACAAATGACCACAAGAAAATCATTATGAATGTTTATTTTGGTAGTAACTAACGACCGAAGTGGAACTCGTTAAAAGTCATTTAAGACAACAGGAAGCGACAAACACACACAATGATTTGTTACACATCTTTATTTCCTTACGAGATATGTTTCATCTCATATTAAACGAGTCATGTTCAGCTATATGTTTTTATTATCAACTAGCTGAGACTCGCGGTGTTACCCGCGATTGTTGTTATAACCGCGGGCAACGCCGCGGGGCGATGCTAGTCTAAAAAAAGTAGCCTAAGTTACTCCTTATGTCATCAGCTATCTGCCAGTGAAAGTCCCGTCGAAATCGGTCCAGCCGTTTCAGAGATTACCCGGAACAAACAGACAGATAGACAAAAATTGTAAAAAATGTTATTTTGGCATATGTACCGTGTAAACATACATATGCATTTAGTAAAAAGCGGTTATTTTAATATTACAAACAAACACTCTAATTTTATTTATTTGTATAGACTAGCTGTACCCGTGCCATGCTACACTGTGGCACATTGTCTTTGCATTGATGAGAAATTATGAACAAAAATAGATAAACACCATCTTTGAAGCGATATACAACCCGTATTTCGTGTCAAAATAAGTTTATAATGGTTTAAGTACTCACATTTCCAGAAAAGTCGAATTTAGCAACCACCAGCTCCAAGACCTGGTGTGGCTGTGGGGGTGGTGGCGCAGCTACCTTGGCAAGCGCTTGCGGGAGAGGACGCACCAGTGGAGTCGTGTCCAGGTAGTGCAACCGGTAGAACGATAGCAACGCTGGCATGTCTGCGAAGAGCTGATCGCCAATTCTATATCTGATAGTGCCATCAGCGGATACCACACGGTTTATTATGTAGTGGGAGACGCGGTCGTCTTCTCTGTAAAATAAAGAATGAGAAAGAGATAAATTGATGAAATTAGGCCATTAACTATGTGTACATGATACTTAATTACAAATTTAACTCCGATAAATGGTATATATTTATAAAAAGAAATGATAATTATTAACTTTTAAATATATATAATTGACTTCAATTAAATCATGGTTGTTGACTTCTTCATCCCTTAAGTTTCCAGCCTAAAAGGTTAATTTTTTTTCATTGTTGAGTGAAATGAACGGTATTAAAAACTATGTTTGAGGTATCGCCTAACATACTCTCAGAAAACAATAAATATTTACATCACATCAACAGATTTAAATAGTCCACTGCTGGACATAAGCCTCTCTTTAGAAAGGCGGTTTTCGCTTACTATACCACACTGACGGGACAGGTTGGTATAGGGTTTGTTTCAAGTTTTCCTTCTCTTTGCAATGCTGTTGTCCTGTTTAGTTTGCTCCCTTAGTCGGCTCTTACGACACCAATGGGATGAACAGGGGTGGTGACACTCCGTATTTTTATTCCGTCACCACACGAAAATATTCAATCGCATTGAAAACCGCCTCCTTTTAAATCCGGTTTTTCAAGGTATACACATAGAACTGGTAGACATGAGCACCAACTCAAGCGACACCAATCTTTACCAAACCTCTCTCATATCCAAATGCTGAATAGCTTACAGCAGACATTTGGGGCGGTATACTACGGGGTCTTGTGTCAACTGCACAGATGGCGTAGTGGTTTAAGCGGTCGCCACGCCGCTTCCTATTACGTCGAGTGTTGTGGGTTCAAACCCCACATGGGACAACACTTTGTGTGATCCACAAATTGTTGTTCTGAGTCTGTGTGTATTTTGTGTCCGTTTCATGTATGTTTGTAAAGTCCCCCGCGACACAGGATTTATTCCTAGTGCGGGAGTTGTCTTTTTTTAAAAAATAAAAAATAAAAGAGTTGTAAAAACGTGCCGAAACCCGACTCTCCCACTTTGTATATAGACTACATTTTATTCCAGTAAAAATGATTGATAAATTCGCTTGAAATGCGAGCTAAACCGCAAGTAAAAGCAAGTTTATTACAGTTCAGCCATCATTTATGTGCGAACATCCAACTCTTTTATGGAATGTCGGAACATAAATAAATACCACGTCATATTTGTACCCAACAAGAATAGCATGACTTGTTCAAACAACTTCATACAAACTATGAACTTTATAATAAATAAATATAATAATTATTATGTATATTAGTGTAGACTAAAATACATATATTTAGACAAATAAATAAACAATAATAATAATAACCTCAGACATTTCACACACGGCTGATCCTCAAACAGGGTCTGTGCTATGGTAACCAGACCGCTGATAAACATACTTAAATATTCCTAAATACATACATTTTATAGATAAATTACACCCAGGCAGAGAACAAAATTAAAAGATCATGCTTATCACACAAGAAATTCAATTCCCTGTAATATATATTAAGAAGGCACTTATCCAAAAAATCTATTCTTATATATTAATTTTTTGTCTGGTTATTCCGGAAAATCGCCGAAACGGATGAACTGATTTCTACGGGATTTTTATTGAAAAATAGGTAACGTTACAGAAATTATCTAGAATACTTTTATTTTAGAAAAAAATAATTAGGTACCATGTGGTAACCCGTCTGCTCGTTATACCATAAAAAAGGTAAAACCTTGTATTTTCTCTATACCTCGTATAGTTTCTTATATACATATATCATGGAGAGGGCTCCGAGGAATTGTTCGGATTAATACCGGCCGCAACTTTCGGCCATCGTTCCACATGGCTAAATTGTCATGCCCATCACATGAATAATTGGCACTCCACCACTGTGCGCTTTTCAAGACACTTTTTGCCTCGCACTACCAATCAAGTTATCATCTGCGGTATTTCCGGACCAATAAAACTTCAATAAAAGAGCCTTCCTAAAAAGGCCGGCAACGTGCTTGTGACTCCTGAGTTGCAGGCGTTCATGGGCGGCTGTAGTCACTGTCCATCAAGTCTGCTAGTTTGCCCCCTCTTCCATAAAAAAAGTATTAGAATAATAAGTTACAAACCTCACGCATAGAACGTAATCACCGGTGATAGTCTTCGAATCCCTGACAAGGAAGACGCCGCTCTCCGTCTCGTTGAGTAACAGTCTGGTGGCTTCAGCTCTGGACAGCTCACGGAAGTACCAGCTGTTGACAAGAAAGAAAGAAGTAAAACAAAAAGTTCAGGTATCTTTATTTGAATTACATCATTACATCACACCAACAGCCTTTTACAGTAGACAGGCCTCTCCTTCCAAACCTATATTTTAATACAAGTTTTTTTTTTACCCCTTTTTAAACGAATGGTGAAGGGGGGAAGAGTATCATATTTGAAATACTTAATCATTACATATTTGTTTCGGAGTGTGGGTGTTTTCTATGTATAATATGTATGTATTAAGTACAAAAAAAGTATATAAGTATTCTATCAGTCAATCTAGCTTTCATAGTACAAGCTCTGCTTAGTTTAAAACTAGAAGACGTTGCGTGTCAAATGTCTTAAGTAAATATTATTATTATTTATTTTTACCTTTACTGGTCTCCCTTATATTTTAAAGGGGTAGCAAAATCTAACACACGGGCCTTAACCAAGTATGCCAGAAAGGGATGATGTAAAATTAAGATGATGATGAAGCGAGAAATTTTCGGCATATTATTATGATCATATCATTATTATTACTAAATATGTGATCATTATTTTCTTTTAAGTTATTTTTTTTTTGTAAAAACAGCTAAGGTACATATTGTGATCAGTCATGGTACAAAAATGAAGTTATACTGGTCCTTGAAGTAAACCAAGACATTCAAAATGGCTGTGAAACAGATTTTGTGCTGAAAAATTTTGAGAATCAAAACTTTCACGAATGGTATAAATACTGAGTATGTGTCCAGGTGCTTGACACATCCCAGGTCGGTTCACCCCCTGATTGGTTACCCGTCAGGTCCGAGAATGTCTCCTAAATAAACCCGAGTTAAAGCGCATATGTATAGTTAATCTAAAACTGTTGCATTCGATAGATTATATTCAATGTTTTTTCTTATCGCATATCAAGCAGGTGTGTCTTGAAAATTTCACCTACTAATTTTGATTGATTTTGTTTAGTACTCGTAATTAATTATAACATCGTCAGCGTCAGTGTATTTCTAATTTAAAAGACAACTCCCGCACTAGGAATATATCCTTTTACAAAAAACAAAAATTTATGAAAAACAAAAATTTGTGGATATCTCACAGTGTTTTCGTACGTGGGGATCGAATCTGACTGCACGGATGGTGTAGTGGTTTAAGCGGTCGCCACGCCGCTTCCTACTACGCCGAGTGTTGTGGGTTCAAACCCCACATGGGACGACACTTTGTGTGATCCACAAATTGTTGTTCTGAGTCTGGGTGTTCTTTGTGTCCGTTTCATGTATGTTTGTAAAGTCCCCCGCGACGAAAGATATTATCCTAATGCGGGAGTTGTCTTTTAAAAAGAAAAAAAAACATAACACTCAACGCAGTAGGAACGCTGTGTTGACCAGTGTGACCCTACGGTATAGTGGTAGGTACGGTAATACTGCTGCCGATGTGATGAGAATTAGTAACACAAATTAAAAACATTTCCAGCTTTCGCTGCAGTATTAGGTTCAGGTTGCTATTTTTTTTACATTCACAGAACGCCATCTAGTCCCAAACTAAGCAGAGCTTGTACTATGGCTACTAGACAACCAATATAAACACATATATACTTTTTTTTGTAAATACATACTTATGATACATAGAAATATCCAGACCAAATCAAACATTAAATGTTCATGCACACAAATGTTTGATTTGAGCAGGAATCGAAGCCGCGACCTTCGGAATAGCAGTCTGTTACACAAACCACTACGCACTCCGGTCTTTGTGGCATGTGTAACGGAACTGTAATATTAAAATATTAAAAAGTAACAGTACACCAAATTTTAAATCCCTCTAAAAACTAAGAAATGAGTTTTAATAATCTTTACAAATAATAGCTAAGAATCATCTCGATCACGTCAACTTTCAACCAAAAAACCGCATATTTGTCGTTTTATTCGTTTATAAGGTACGAAGTAACAGACAGACACACATACTTTTAACACCCCTACCCCTTTCTGCGTTGGGGGTTAAAATAGGATTAGCATTGAAATACGTCATAGTAAAGTTTATGAATAAGAATAAATTTAAGGTATAATGTAATATGTGTAAATAAAATATCATTCAAGAATGAAATCTATGTTAATACAATAAAGCTTAAATAAATCTTTGTTTGATTTTGATTTGATTTTTTAAAAAGACAACTCCCGCATTAGGAATATATCGGTTTGTTTGAGCTAACTGCTAATCTCTGGTACTACTTCGTACTAGGTTATTTTGGTGTTGAATAAATTATTTACTGAGGAATATTATAGGAGGAATATATATATATAACATCACAGTTCGGGACTGTAACCACAAACGCAGAAGAAACTTCTAGGTGGAAAATTTTCTTGTAAAGGTATGATAAAACTCGAACTCCTCGAATCGACCATAGTAGACATTTTGTATGAAAATACTCGAGGCCCTAACAAACATTCGAGCTAATATTTATAAATACATCCAGCGAAATCATTTCTAGAAACATCTGACAAGTAACCGACTCACGACGCCGACCTAGAGTTATAAAACATCCACCAGTAACAAATAAGTTACGTAACTAACGTTTAGTATTACGCTGATGGGTTTACCACTAAAGCCATAATCGTGGCGTCATTATGGTGAATTGTTTATTTACATAGTTTCAGTATTTTCTTTTCATCATTTTTTACAAAGACAACTAATCATCATCATCATCAACAGCCTTTAATAGTCCACTGCTGGACATAAGCCTCTCCTGAGAAAAGACAACTAATGAACTAAGAATATTTCCTGTGTAGAGGATGACTTTACAAACACACATGAAACGGACATAGAGAACACCCAGAGTCAGAACAACAATTAGTGGATCACACGAAGTACTGTCCCATGTGGGGATCGAGCCCACACCACTCAGCACAGTAGTCGAAGTTGTTTCTACCTAACTGCAATGTCTGCCCGAGGTCCGCCCCATTTACAGAGATGTTTTAAGCACACATGGAACATGGTGAGTATACCCTGCCAAAAAGAATCAAAATTATCTCTATTTTTGAGCTTCTGGATCATAGTCGAATCTTCCACCAAGTACTTGCATACCGAGTAAAGCGAATATCATAATACACAAGAAGAGAAACAGCAGCAGAGAGAAAATTGATTTGATGGAATTCAGAAGTGGATCACACAGTGTCGTCCCATGTGTGGATCGAATCATCCACACATGGGACGACACTGTGTGTTGGAGGTTTTGGCCTACTATACCACGCTGGCCAGACGGGTTGGTATAGGGTTTGTTTCGAGTTTTTCTTCTCTTTGCAGTGCTGTTGTCCTGTGTAGTTTGCTCCCTTAGTCGACACTCACGGGATGAATAGGGGTGGTAATACTCCGTATTCTTAATTCTTTCGATATAATTTTAACCGACTTCAAAAAGGAGGAGATCTAAGACCAAATATTCTGTACAACTTAATAAGGAGAGGGGGCAGACCGGCTGTTGCCGTGGTGACGCGTCACCACGCTATATGATAGCATATATAACATGTAATACGGTGTGATTGTGCTATATTTATTTGCATTTCATAAACTATATTTTTCCCAAACTAGATTGGGGTCGGCTTAAGTCTGTTACGATACGGCTCAACTTAGATTTATTACGCAGAGCGACAGCCATCAGACCTCCACAACTCAAGTACTAGGCGATATCGGAGTTCTGTAAAAAGACTGTTGTTGAACTTTTTAGAGCTCCAAATACCCGTAACGATTGCCACAGATGTTCGAATGGCAACCAGGACCGACGGCTTAACGTGCTCGCCGAGGCAAACTATTTTTAGGGTTCCGTACCTCAAAAGGTAAAAAAGGAACCCTTATAAGATGACTTTCTTGTCCGTCTGTCCGTGTGTCACCACCGATTTTCTCAGGAACGGGTAGACCTGGCAAGTTGAAATTTATACCAGATACTGAGGTCTATGGTCCCTATTAGGTGAATAAAAAACAAGGTCCTGAGTCAACACGATAAAAAGATATGGGCAAATTTCGATTTTCGCGAAAACTTGTAAGTACTTACCAAAATTAATTGCTTAGAATGGGAGTGTAATTGGTTAAATAAGCTTCCGGACTCCGAAGCAGAGATACACTTGTTTTTTTATTTAATACTTAAATTATAAGGAATATCCATACTTATTTCATAAATGGGAAAGTGAGTTATTACGCTTTCACACCTAAACTTATTTAAAAAATTCTTTCACCAATAGAAAGCTACATTATCAGCGACTGCACGGATGGCGTAGTGGTTTAAGCGGTCGCCACGCCGCTTCCTACTGCGCCGAGTGTTGTGGGTTCAAACCCCAAATGGGACGACACTTTGTGTGATCCACAAATTGTTGTTCTAAGTCTGGGTGTTCTTTGTGTCCGTTTTATGTATGTTGTAAAGTCCCCCGCGACACAGGAATGTATTCCTAATGCGGGCGTTGTATTTTTTGAAGAAGAAGAAGAAGAAGTTACATAGGCTAATTTTTACCGCTTTAACCAACATACGCCCAGACGGAGCCGCGCGCAAAAGCTAGTTCGTGATCCCTAGTGTATATGGTGCAGTTTGCATTTCTTGTTCACCGCAATCTTAGAAGCAAGTAGCCATTATCTGAGATATAACTTCCTGAAGAAAAAAGTGCTTCGTGAAAGTTAAAAAACACAACACCGGTTTGTTTATTTTCACTAATACGTAATGAGTTGGTTACATAAACATAAAACTAATTTAAATATAACTGTGTTCATAATGTATTGTTTCAATCTATGCATAATTATTATTATTTATTTACTAGCTGGTGCCCGCGACTTACGTGGAATTTGAAAAGCGGTGCCTTAATGGGTTCGATTGATTCCCGGACTGAGCAAAATTTTATAGGGGTTTTCTTAAAGAAAAAATAGATTAAGTTACTCCTTATATAGACCTGGTAGTTAAATATTGGCCAGCCGTTAGTAGATTGCTATTATATTAAGAGAACAAACGGAAAAACAGAGAGACAAAAAATATTTAAACTGGTTTTTAGGCATAGGTATCTTGCAAATACCCCGTGTGAGCATGAATAAAACCTATTATTTTGACATTACAAACAGACTCGTCGATTTTATCTGTATAGTTTTTTTTCGCAATGGTAACTTTTTTTTTTAAGCAAAGAAAGATGTCTTAAGAATGCGGCAACCCTTGATAATCTGTTAAACATCGTAGTGCAGAAGTAATACAAACCAAAAAAACCCAGAGATATCATCATAAAAGTATGACCGTAAGGTTCGTGAAGTCAGCCACTTCCCACAAGGCCAAGCGTGGCTTCCAAAGGCCTAAACAGCCACAGTTGTTCTCAAAAACAGCTTTGCTCAGTATTCGGAACCTCGTTACAAACTATCCGTTTGTAAGGACGTTCCGAATCTGGCGAATTCTGGGTCCGACTAGGAAGTTAAACGCATATTCTCCAGTAAGTAGGTTCTGGAAGATTGATAGGCTCATTTCTTATACACTTGGTACTAAAGCGTTGACATCCCATTTATATTCTTTTTTTACAATTGACGGATTAAGAATACAGAGTATCACCGCCCCTATTCATCCTGTGGGTGTCGTAAGAGGCGACTAAGGGAGCAAAATACGCAGGACAACAGCACTGCAGAGTGAAGGAAAACTTGAAACAAACCCTATACCAACCCGTCTGGCCAGCGTGGTATAGTAGGCCAAAACTTCCTTCCTAAGGAGAGGCCTATGTCCAGCAGTGAACTATTAAAGGCTGTTGATGATGACGCGGCCATCTAATTCCAAACTAGGCCAAACGTGTACTATGATAACCAGACTGCTGATAAACATATTTTGATACCTAACTATCATAACAAAAGACCGTGCTTAAAACCAGTTTTCCTTTCCTGGTTAAGAACTGACGACTAGATCAACAGGCCCATCATTCTTTTTCAAAGGTTTACGATCCGTAATTCAGCATTAGTTAGGATATTGGCACTTTTATTTTTAGTAAGTCGCGTACGTCTCCCACACTCATCGGTGTCAACTTTGGACTAAGGAAGTCTTAGAACTGTGTCACAACCAAGGTCAAAAGTGTTAGCGACTAATTACCGACAAAGCGGTTTTGTTGTCTTAATATACTTTTGGTATTGATTAACACAGGCTACTCGCTAAAAAATCAAGGATTTGAGTGTTTTTGTTAGACAACTCCCGCACTAGGATTAAGCAAACTTTACAGACATATACAAAGAACACCCAGACTCAGAACATCAATTGTGTGGGGATCGAACCCACAACACACAACGTAGTAGGAAGCGGCGGGATGTCCGCTTAAACCACTACGCCGCCCATGGTATATTTGTAAAAGCAAAATTGATGTTACTGCTCCTCAATGACTTCTTCGACTAGTTAATCTCAATTTAAATCTAGGAATCTACCCTGTCCATTTAACTATCGATTTAATGTATTTATTGTTGTGATATCTTCAACTCAACATTAAAATTAAATGATTTGACATTAAGCTAGGTATGACGTCACGCCACAGTACTTCACAAAAATGTACAGCGTGTGTCGTTTTATGTTGTTGGGCGTATGTACACGCCCAATGATTTAAATCAAATAAAATCTGAATAAAACAACAGCAACACTAAAAAAAATTACAACTATCTAAAATTGAAATAAAAGTCCTAGAACCCTGTTACAGGTCTATCTAATGGATAACAGCAGTTACTGGCTCGCTCCAATTACAAGCGCAGAATGGCACACCGTGTGGTTTTAGTCGGACCGATTCCGACACACCAATACACTAAAAAAAAAGGTCTATCTAATGGATGCAATTTGTTGTGAAATTAAACAATTCAGGGACGCACATCGAAGAGTGGAGTAGCTTTTTCATGGAAACACTTCCAATGAAAAGGAGACGATACAATGCAACTACAAACTCTGTTCACAATGCAACTACGCTCGTTCCTCTTAATCTCAGCCTCCGTGGCCGAAAATTGCCGGTATGTGCAGCGCGCGACTGTGTGTCTACTGTTTATATTTAGAGGTAATTAATCTGAGTTTCGAAACTAGACCAGTAGTAAACTTTGTTTATTATTTATATTTATATCGTTTTACTACCATTTGTTCTAGTTTACACTACAGTATTGTTTATATATTTACTATTAAAGTTACATACTTCCTGGCAAAACTGATCAATCAGCCTCTTGCATTCCCAGCTGAACATAAGTCTCTTCCAATGTACGCTATAACCCTCAGTCCTCCGCCTTCCACATCCCATTTCAAGATTCAGCACAAATGGGCTGGCTAGTTTAGAGTAATACCACAGCCTCACAATCAATTCTTACATAGCTTTTCACCGAGTGAGCGGCTTATTGGTCGATTCGCACAAATTTGTTCGAACACTTTGTCCGAAACGACCCTTTTTTCAATTTTATTTATTGGCAATAAAAAAAACTGTTGAATATACATATCTGCACACCTGTTTTTATATTTGTTCTTGTTAAAATGTGAGAAACGCCAGTTTATTTTTCTAGAAGTGTCGATCAAAAAGAAGAATCAACCACAAAAAAAAAATATTTTAAAAAGGATAATTTCGCACAAAGTGTGCGAACGAATTTGCGTAAATCGACTACTTAGCCGAATGAGTGAAGTTACTGAAGCCCCGCACCCCGCTCCCTAGTTGTCAAGGGCTTCAAAGGGCAGCAACGCTTGTGACTCTCAGTTGAAGGAGTCCATGAGCAGTGGTAGTCATCTACTATCAGGTGATGCGTTTGTTCCCTATACTATAAAAAAAGCCCAACATATCTCAGCTACTTTTCTCAGGCTTTTTTTGTGTATTTCTTTATTTATTTAGTAAGGAAAACCAGTTGGTGTTACATTAAACAATAATTTATTAAAAGTAGCTTAAATGCACAGCTACTAAAAGTGAAGTCATGAGTGAAAATAAATAATTAATCAACAAACTAAACATGTCTGCACGAATAGCATAGTGGTTAATTACCACCAGTCACCACGCTGCTTCCTACTGCGTTGATTTTTGTGGATTTGATCCCCAAATGGGACTTTGTGTGATCTACAAATTGTTGTTCTGAGTCTGGGTGTTCTTTGTGTCCATTTTATGTATGTTTGTTAAGTTCCCTGTGACACAGGATATACTCCAAATGCAGGAGTTGTGTTTTAAAACTTAAAAAAAAAACAAAACGAAATTAAGTAAATTACAGAACACAATTAGGTAAATCAATACTACTAAAGACTAAGGGTTTTCAGTCCATCTTATTTACATCTTTATAACAAGGTCTACTGAAGAAAACCTTTACAAAATTACTGTCTGTCTTATGCAATTTATTTGCAGGCAATTTAAATAAATAAATTTATTTATTGATAACCATCTCAATTAGATAATTATTCAAATAAGATGTGAAGAATGTGTCAGTTTCACTTGTGAAAGTGTTTAGAAAGATAAAAGTTAATAAGAAAGAAAACTTCATGTTTTGTCTGCGGTCTCCTCTGACTGAGAACTGCCAAAATCATTTTAATAAATTTAATTTCAAAAATGTAATATACCATATAAATAAAATAGATTGATTCAGGATATTTATTATGGGCTCGAACCTCTTGGTGAAACACCTTCATTAGATTGACTGCATGGTTGGCTTAGTGGTGAGGTGATCTTTGTGTATTTCATGTGTGTTTAAAAAAGTCCCCCACAACACAAAATATTCCTAGAGTGGGAGTTATCTTTTTAAAAAATCATAAAAGAAAAAAATCCTTTCAGTTTAATCTCAAGAAACATTTACAAACTTTTTAGTAAGCTCATATACAAATACTTATTATTTTTGTGGGTAACAAAAAAGAGGAGATATTCAGATCAGGTCAGATTAAAACAGTAAATAAATTTAGATAGGATAAGACATGTCTTTATTTTATTACATTGAGATTGTCAATACTCAGCCTAAGGCTCTAAGTAGGATACCTTGGTCAAAAATAAAAATATATAACGACATTACACATCTCACACACAGTAGTCTGATCCCAAACAAGGCAGGGCCTGTACTATGGTAACCAGACTGCTCATAAACATACTTATATATTTCTAAATACATATATATACAATACCTAATAATATGATAAAAATAATACAGTAAGGAAAAAGGATACAAATAGCAAGGGAGACTTTGTTTATTTAAATCTGCTTTCAATTTAGGAATATAGTAGGTCTATTAGTATATATCTTGAAACAGGAGTTTCATAGATTGATTGATAGATTTCATTTAAAAGAATACATACAATATATAAACATGTGTGATAACTCCTAGAATGATTATTATATTATGATTAATACAAATAAAAGCTTACCTTTACATTATAAATAGCAAATTTATTGAGGCCTTGACACATTATAGTATGACCAAGGGCTTGTTAAAGTTAAATAAATACTAAAAAAATAATGCATCATTTGATATTTTAGTTTTTTTTAAATCATGGTATCAACAATTACCATAAACAATACTTTACTAAGAAAACTGCAGAAATTGTATATGCATTTTGATAAGACTGGGAGAATTACATTCTAGGAAAATATAGGAGTAATAACACCATAACATTAACAGGATTAAGAGCTTCATAGAAAATTATAAACTTCTACTGACCTGGTCATGTCATTAGGGTCAAAAGAAACCCCAATTCCTGTGTTCGCCATTCTTAAGCCAGGGTGTATCGATAACACAGGAATAAACTTTACCGGAGCGCCCACATCACTGTTCAACGCACACCGGAAATGGACGCGCTTTATCACTTATCACTAAACTTGCATAGATTCCGTGGAGTAATGACCAGCACCAAATAAACTCACAACACCCTCCTCGCACTTTCAAAAATGATTTCTACGAACCAAAACTCTGATAACATATAATTTGTTGTTATGTGTCACCATTTAATGTTCACATCGAAACACATGTTTTCGCATTCGTAGAGCGCCGACGGAGCGTCGCTGTCATTCAACGTACTGTTGTAACTGAGTTTGGAATCTATATGCAGAAGAAAGAAATCTATAATTATAACTGAATTATAAATAATCTTCCTTAATCACACACGCGAAGTTTCGCTGATGATACGGCATAGACAAATAGTCTTTCTTTTTTAAAATTTTGACGCATAATCTTCTGGAATACTCGTTGTCTATTATGAAGGTACGTTCATAAACTATTTTTAGGACTTTTGTAGTTTTTACGAGTGGCAACATTCATTTCATTACACATCATCTTCGAAATTTTTGTCTATGGTTTGTGTCCATTGTTTTTCTACAATGTTATTTTTCTGACTGCTGCTGGTGGACGAAAAATTAGTTTCGCTGCGTCGAGTGTGAGTTTGTTCTAGTGTTCGTGTTCGATATTGTGATTTATTAGAAATAGATCACGAAGATGTCGTCACCGAGCGCTGGGAAACGTCGCATGGACACAGATGTCATCAAACTGTATCCTTTCTTTGTTATCGTCATTACAAAGAACCTATTGCGTTCGAGGGCCACCATGTAAATAAGTAGCTGTAGGGCCGTCAGCTGATTGTCACGACCTTATATAAAATCAATATTAGATGTGTTTTTATTAGAATTTCTTTGTTGTACACTTGTAGAAGTTATAAATAACATTTTATTTGAAGGTTCTTATTGATGCAGACCTTTGACTAATTGTCTGGGCGAAAAGCGTGCATTCTTTTCAAGTCTCTGTGGGCCAACGTATCTATATATAAAGCGTTGATAAAGTTGTAGGTAGGTGCGTTACGTTAGCTCAGAGTACTCTTCCGTGTCTACTTAGAACTATATTTCGTAAGCCATAAACTAGGCCAGGGTCCTGATTGCGTATTTTTTTTTCTCTATGTTATGGCCTTACACGCTCACTATACGGATTATAAACTTTTTAAGCGTAATTAATTACTAAAACACCTTCATATGCACTATGAACATATTTTCTTTGTTGCTAGCTTTGTCAATACATTGGTGTAAGTTAATTACTAATATTTATTACACTGCATATGGGTTATTTTTGTAAATAATAGTACTATTTGACACAATATTTCTATTTGATAAATTTAAATACATAATTATCTAAAAAGATTTAATTTAAATTGAAGCTGCTCATAGAGTTTTGTAATTATTTTTTTAACAGTCATGAACCTACTTATTTTAATTTTGTAGTGATTTTGCAAACACAATTCTAAATTTGAAATTTTATAGAATGAATGCTTTGTAATGATTCCTTTCTTGCCACCATAAACCAATTGAGCTTGGCAACAGTTATAAGGAAGTTATTCTATTGTTCTAACGATTTAATGTATTCAGATATTTTGCATAGTTGTTGTTGTATTCATTAGAAGTTATAATTGTTCTGTTTTTACTAACAGAAGTAAAAAAAACTGAAATTAAAATACACACTATTTTTTTCTGATTACAATAATAATTTGTTTTTGAAACATTTCTAATTGTTATATAATTGGTATATACTTAATTATATAATTTACTGAAAAAATAGACAACTATAATTATATATGCACTATGCAGCATAATACATAGTGATAATTAATTCATATGATTCTTGCAGTTATACTAAGCTTTCTCTTTCTTAATTTTTTATACATAAAATACACACTCAGTGGTTTTATGTATGACATACCTACATAATCTCGTTATTTTGCAGATAATCCTGGAATGATAACATTTTTATTTAATAACTAGCTTTTGCCCAGCAATTATTTAATAACTAGCATTTGTCTTTCCTCAAGAATGAAAGTATCTCCATACCAAATTTAATCTAAATCGGTTCAGCGGTTTCAGCGTGAACAGTAACATTTTCATTTTCGCATTTATAATATTAGTATGGATTTGCTTCTGCTTATAATTAGTGGGTGGGACACAGAAGACATACCATCAGATCTCATGTGATTGTCAATGCATGGCTGACCTGTCGGTTCTTAAAAAAAAAAAGTTTGCACTAATCTTTTAAACTAGTTTTAACAGTATAGATGTGTGTTATTTGGCAATGATTTATGCTCATAGTGCCTTGTTTGTAAGTGACACATTAAACCACAATAATAGTTTATTAGTCAGAGGGATTACCTATGTCTGTCAGTTGAAAATACATTCTTGTAAAATTAAATAACCATAGTAGTAGTGGAGTTAGATTAACATGAGCTGTTTTTTCCCTAAATCCACATAATTTGTGGGAATAAAACCATTCAAATAACTCCTTGATCAATTTTTGGTAAATCCATTGTTACCAACAATTTCAAAATGTGACATTTTATTATACCTACTTTTGTAAATTTCCATTGTCATTACAGTATTTACTGTTGTGTCAAAATCAGTATTGTAAATTTACATTGTAAATACCGTTGTGTCAAATTCATTAGACTGCAATAAATTTTATAGTAATCACACAATACAATATCACTGTTCCACTTGTAGACTGGGGCATTTAAATAAAAACTGTTAACCATAAACCAGAAGCTAAACCATAAATAACTAGAGTTATTTAGGTTCTTACTTCTGCTACTCTACTTAGCTGATCTGATGAAATCCCCAGTGCTCTCTTTAAATAAAAATTCCATCTCACTCTATGCCATTTAAGAGTATACTTGATGAACTCTTTATTTATTAATAAAAAAATGTATAGGTTTTGCTAGACACAACAATAATATATGTAAGTACAAAATATTTATGTGTTACTTTAATACAATTCTTATCACTAACTTTCTGTTGGTTATTTATCAAAGTTAATTTTAAATCATTCTAACTCCAGGCCTAATTCATTTTCCTTCATGAAATAGGAAACAACTGAACGAAATGTTACTAAACGAACTGTTTAAAGTTGAAAATATGTAGCAGGAAAAGATTATTAAAAAGACAACAAACTGGCCAAATAAATACTGATGATTAACTGTCATTATTACCAGTGATTAAGTTATCTGTATTCATAATGAGAAACACTCGCTTGCAATTAAAAAAGAATTTGTAGTGAAGATAATTTTTGTTAGTTTATCATTAATCTGGGCCTGTTTGTTGATTGGAGTTCTGCACAACAAAGTCCATATGGAAACTAATTTACAAAAAAATAAAAATAAAAAAGGAACATTACTGAATTTAACTTATAGTTCGTGAAAGAGATGGCCTTGTGTAGTACTTTTTTTTTACTGTGCGGAACTCCCTTCGCATACCACCCACCGGTGGTACGTCGGGGTTGCCGGGGAACCAGGTGTACCCTAGGATGGCAATACCTAATACCCCGACGTACCTCGGGCTATCTACGGCGTGTAAATGGCCCCCTCCAGTGTGGGAACCCCTATGTTGCGGTCTGCATCGCGTCTCGCCACTACCCCGGCCTGCTTCTGATAGGGTGACAGATGGCCTCATCTACCACCCCCAGGCCTGCGCTTATGGAGGACGGAGGTCATTCTGCGACCTCCGGCGCCTGAGTCGTCTGCGGTACCTGGCTCGTTGCCGGGCCTGGCGCTCCGGGAGAGTTCTAAACCTCTCCCGGTCCCGCTCCGCAATCTCCTTTGTAAACATAACTTACTCCCAGAAGGAGACGGCGGAGTTCCAAGAACTCTCGCTCCGTACCATGGCGGCAATCATGTTACCGAGCGAGGGAATTTCCACTCCGACGGCCGCCATAAGGCAACGCCTCTGCTCCACCCACGCCGGGCATTCTGCCAGCGTGTGGAGCGCTGTGTCCACGGTCCGGCCATCGCAGTGGTGCTACTCAGGCGTTGGCTCCTTGCGGATCAGACACAGGTGATCTCCGAAGCATCCTTTCCCGGTGATCACCTGCGTCAACCGGTATAAGAGGGTTCCGTGATGGATCTCAAGCCAATCCTCCATAACAGGTCTTACCGCCGCGATAACGGCGTGCCCGGGCCTAGTGTAGTACTAAATTAAATTTAAACCCATAGAGCATTGCAAGAATTTTTCATGCAAAAGTAATTTCTAAATTGGTGATGTTCAGACTAGCGTTACTAAAAATACAATTCAATTATGACAGAAATTAATATAAATTTATGTAAGCATATCATCAGACGCGCCGAAAAATGACTACTTTTGTAATAAGATTATGTAATTTTGTTTAAAGTAATCATGATTACATTTAACTGTTAGTTTGATTACAGTAATCAAGAATGGAATTTATATTATGCCTATGTATGTGTATGACTGTTTTCTTGTTATTCTAGTTTTAACAAGAAAAGGCTAATAATAATAATACCTATTTGCTTGCCAGGGACTATATCATTAAAACAACATACACAAATGATACAAAGGAACAACTATTTGTTGATTACACATTTTTAAATCTTGTGCTTGCATTATACACAACATTCAATCAATTTGTTATTTTCAATTGTTTTTAAGTCTAACATTTTTTATTTTATTTACCTTTTTAGAAAAATATCTTCCAATGAATATATTAATACCATGGCCAATTAAAAGTTTATACAGTAAACATCATGCGAGTTAGAAAAGAGTATAACCTCATAAAAAAACAGTGTTATGTAAATTCTTTAGTGGGTGGCAGTTGTCATTAACTTTCATGTGACAACTGCTTGCTTGCACCATAAAAAAATACCATTCTACAATCAATTAAATAGTAATTAATACATAGGCATGTAAGTGGAAGCAATTCCGGAAACGAGAGAGAGATGGATGCCCTATAGTTTCCTTTATCTCTGTTTGACTAATCTGTGATTGGCTACTTATTAACCCCTCATTTTCCCCAGCCAACCACAGAGCTCGACTAGAAAGAGATGGAGGCATCCATCTTTGACGGGCCTTTTGGTCTAGTGGTTAGTGACCCTGACTGCTAAGCCGGAGGTCGTCGGTTCGATTCCCACCCAGGACAAATATTTGTGTGATGAGCAAGATCATTTGTTCTGTGTCTGGGTGTAATTCATCTATAATATGTATGTATTTAGAAATATATAAGTACGTTTATCAGCAGTCTGGTTACCATAGTACAGGCTTTGCCTAGTGTGGGATCAGACAGCCGTGTGTGAGATGTGTGAGGGTATTATTATCTATCTCTCTCGTTGCCTACATTACAAGATTGGGGCTCTTGTTCACTCTATGCTTGTAAGACTCAACTCTCAATAAGTCTCTATCTGCCTCTAATAACTCATTACATTTTGAACAAAAAAAAAAACTTTGGTATAATATAAAAAATTGCAATAACTTTAAGAACTGCTTCTTTCAGTTTTTTTGAGAATGTGCGTTTATATGTGGATGTTTTTTTTTTTCTTTCTTTGATTTACGTTGTTGCCCATAGCGAATACATTAATTTATCATTTGGTTATATCTTGTCCTTGTGGATATTTCGTTCGTGCGATGTTTCTGATATTTTTTTTATGAGATCGAAAGGCAAACGTGCATACGGGTCACCTGATAGTAAGTAACTACCACCATTATCACCTGCAACTCAGCAGTCGCTAGGC